CTTTCATTTTTGGAAATAGATGGTATTTAAGGTCACTTCTGACCTAAGCCTTCTGTGATTTTCTGTCTAAATCTGACTTGGAACTCAGAGTTACTGATCTAAAAACACTGCAAAACACTCCTTTCAAATCAGTTCTTTGCTGAAGGCACCAGCTGAGGTGGGTCCTCAGGTAATGTAAAATTGGGAAGCTCAAAGTAGAGCTGCAAGGTACTGAATGTGAATCCTGAATGAATGAAGCAACGCCCAACATACACAACTCATGGAATCTTTTCTTTTATGAACAGGAAAGGATACATGGAAAGATAGTGAAGTGGTCTGTAGAAAATGGACGTAAATCATCAAGATTTCCAAGGATGACTCGAATTGCTTCCTGGAAAGACCAAAAAAAGAGAAGTGAGGGAATAATATTAACAATATATCCACAACTCTACTGGAGTTCAGTGTTCAGGCTTTGGAAAAAACTTCACTTTACAGTTTGCATGAATTGTTGGAAAGGATATTCTAGATACATACAAACAGCTTTGTTTATCCTTCTCCACACTCCCTTCACCTGATCTGCACTACAGAAAGACACTGACAGGAATTGCTTCATATCCTACCTCAAACTCCTTGACAGCAACGTCAGTGTTGTTGAGTTCAGGAGCGCTGTGAAAAAAGATACAGAGAATTAGTCCCACCTGGGGAAGGGAAGGATCACATCCTTTGACAGAGTTTAAATGACAACAAAACATGGTAAGCAGGGAACATTCTCACTGCAGAGAGAAAATTCTTAGCAGGGGGATAAAACCTTGAAATGTTGTTCTTAAAAATATCCAGGATTATTTTGAGACCTGCTGTAGGGAACCTGCTTTGGTGGGGGGTTGGACTCGATGATCTCTGGAGGTCCCTTCCAACCCCTACAATTCTGTGATTCTGTGATACAAGAGATAAGAGATCAGAAATGCTCCAAATTGAAAGCAAGAAATGGCTGTAAATGGGTTCTGCTTTTGAAGCCAAGAGGAAGATCACAGCACAATGCTTTTGAGGGCATCGCCCTTGGACTGCTGCTTGCTGATGCTCACAGCCTTGAAAGGCAAATTCCTGGAGCCTGATGGTGCTGGCAGATCTCTGGCTTTGTTTATTAATGTATAAGAACACCAACATTTTATCAGCAGTTGACAGCCACAAAGCAGAAAGCTTCAGACCAAGTTGGAGATCTACAGAATGCTGCTTCTGCAATCTAGAACCCAATCTAAAACCACTTAGTTTTGAGGGGGAAAAAAAAAACAAAAAAAAAAGCAGTAATATCTCTTTTTGCCAGAACCCCCCCAACTTCTGTGATATTACAGCCCACAGCCTCCAGGATTCTGAGTCGTCTCTCAAATTAAGAGCTCCAGAACTTCTTGAGCGAGTCGGTCTGCGTTCTGCTCCCTCACAGCAGGACCCGTTGGTCTGATAAGCAGATCCAAGCAGATCCAAGCAGATCCAAGCAGATCCCCCCAAGGCAATGCCCCCAGGGAAGCAACGTTTTCACCTTGTAACGACCACCTTCCCCATTTGGGCAGGCTGATCAGCGCCCTGTAACTCATGTCACTTCAATTCCAGGCTCACACGCTGCTGTGACGGCACACAGCTCTCCAAATCCTCATCCTCCGCGCATCCGAAGGCTGTTTTCCTTTCTGTTCCCTGCCTGCCAGCAGCACGGGCAAACCAAAGCGCCGTCCCTTCCCTCTCATTTCTCAGGCCTGTCACCTCTACAAACCCGGGCTGGTCCATCAAAGCTCCTCCCTCGAGCTCCCTCACCTCTGCAAGTTGCCACAGCGGATTTTAAACTTATACACAACTCCGCCCGCGTGCAGGAACCTGGTTTCAGGCAGCGGGTACAAGAATGGTTTCAACGGCATCTTTTTTGTCGCCGCCAAAGGAAGAAGGCCGGCTCTGGCTCCTCCCCGGGCTCCTCTTACAGCACACAGCCCAGCGCTGTGCCTGACGAGCCGCAGATGGCGGCGGGGCCGGCGCCGTGTGCAGGCCGCAGCCGTGGGGGGGCGCAGGGCAGCAGCTCCCGCTCCTGTGTGTTCAGGTTTGGGCCCCTCACTACAAGAAAGACATTGAGGCCCTGGAACGTGTCCAGAGAGGGGCAACGAAACTGGTGAGGGGTCTGGAGCACAGGGCTTATGAGGACCGGCTGAGGGAGCTGGGAATGTTCAGTGTGGAGAAGAGGAGCTCAGGGGAGACCTCACTGCACTGTACAACTTCCTGAAGGGAGGTTGTGGTGCAAAAGGGTCTGGCCTCTTCTCCCAGGCAAATAGCAGGAGCCGAGGAAACAGCCAGAAGTTGCACCAGAGGAGGTTTAGGTTGGATATTAGGAGAAACTTTTTCTCTCAGAGGGCGGTCAGGCACTGCAATGGCTGCCCAGGGAGGTGGTGGAGTCGCCGTCCCTGGCAGTGTTCAAGAGGCGCCTGGATGAGGAGCTACGAGAAATGGTTTAGTGCTTGTGGTACTGATAGGAATGGGAGGGGGGTTGGACTGGATGATCTTGCAGGTCGTTTCCAACCTTGTGATTCTGTGATTCTCCTCCCTCCTCCCACAGGACGCTGCTGGGTCAGGACACGTCCTGAGCTGCGCAGGTGGCATCACTGCCTGCACCAACCCCGTGCTGCCATCATTGGGGCCATTGGAGGGGAAAACAACCCCTGGAGCCTTCCTGGCAACCTTCCACATCCATACAGGCACAACTGGAAAGCTCCAGTGCTCAATAACAAAGCGATGGTCGAAGGCAGCGCTTAAACGAACGGATGCAAAGGAACCCATTCAGGATCAATATCCATAGATCCATGCTTTCGTATCACTGAACAAGCCGTAATAATTATGGTGCCCTTGCTGCAACTCCGTGCCTCTAAACAGCACTGAAACCATGAGAATCCACTCCCTCCCTGCACATCAGCATCCTGATCCTTGCAGCAGCACTGTGACAACCCACAGTCCCCACCCGTGCCACTCCATCTGCCCACTGCCCCCATCCCTGATTCTGGGAGAAATCTGGGATCAAAACAGAGAGCTGGCACATTCAAATGCCCTCAAACAATTGAACACCACCACCCCATTTAGTAGGAAAGCAACACAATACCCGCTGTGTTTCCCCTTTGAACCCTGGGGATGTGAAAGACTCTCAGCCCTGCCTTCTCCTTTTCTCCGTGTGGTTAAGAAAGCCTTGCACCTGCAGGCAATCGCTGGCTTATAAAATACGAATAACATTAACAGCATTTTCCTTTTGCTCTCCTGATTTGCAAACCATCCTCATTATCTCTGCAGGGAAATGCCCCCAGGTTTTAACTGGCCTTCTGTATATTTGTTTGTGAAGCTGACAAACTTGTCCCCGTAACTGCATCTGCCCTGGGAAAGGAGCAGGTTTCCTCTGCTTTGCCCACCAGCAATGCCACAGGGCTGACTGCTCCTCCTGGCCCTGCCCTGGCTGGATCTGCAGGACTCAGCTCACCCCAGGGCTCCTTCTCCTCCTGATTCCCAACAGGACTGCTCTTCCTAGAAAGTGGGTGGCAAAGCTGCGGTGCCCCCAGGGCCAGGAGTGTGTGAGATGGTGAGATACTGCCTGCATAGGCAGATGAGGCTGTGTGCATTTGACTGCTGGAAAAACAGCCCAGGTGCAAATTCAGGGATATGAGAAATGTTAGAAAAGCTGCTCGTTCATCTTCCGTCTCTTGTAGAGCAGCAATCTCAGGGAAAAGGAAGCACTGAAGAGCCTCTATGGAAAGTTCAGTTGGAGGTGCAGCTGCTGCTGAAAAAAAGCAGCGACAGACGAAATCTGTGGGGAGACAGACAGGAAGAGGCACCTCCTGTGAATGCTTCTGCAAGTGCCAGGGACACAGCCCTCCCCGCTGCACCAGCTGGAGCCTCTGTGCCTCACAGACAGACAGAGAAAATGAGGAATACAGGCAAATGTGATGCAGGGTCCTGCAGAAACCACAGAGGGAAGCTACAATCCTCTGCACGAATAACAAGTAGCCCCAGCACTGAAATGTGGGCCAGCAGGAGGAAAGATGTAGCCACAGTGCGTGATCTGCTGGCGTGAGAGCAGTTGGGCTGAGGGCACCGCACCGGTCACAGCACTGGACCTTAAAGTAAAATGCCAGGGGATCAGGACAGGCAAGCTCCTGCTGTCCTGTATGGCATTTTGGTTTGCTGGAGATGCTGTGCCAAAAGGTGTGAAATAATGTAATATGACTTTGTCTTTTTTTTTTTCCTCCTGCAGTCCTTTCAGTTGGATTTCCTGACTTAAACAGCACTTCTCACTCTCCAGCCAGTTTGGTTGCTTAGGAATTCGGTTGCCTTTGGAACAAGTAAGAGCTGCACCCCTGGCCAAGCACCAGCCCTCCCCAATTCCTGCAGAGAATGCAGGACAGCTCCCAAAGCCCTGAGCCTTCCCTGTCCCCCTGATACAGGCATGGCTCCCCCAGCTGCTCCTGGCAGGACAGAATGTTGAACAAAGACATTTCCATCTTTGCGCGGTGGAGGGATTGGTGATGGTTAAAGGTGTCCCAAGGAAGATGATGCCAAAGTCCAGAGCAGGGCATCCCAGCAGGCCTTATGGGAGAAGGACAACAGATGTGGCCAGTACAGGTATAAGGAGCACTGCATCAGGACCAACTCCACAGCACAGGGCCACTGCAACACAGGGGCATCAGCCACACTGGGGAACAGGAACCTTCCCCATCCCAGCGAGGGAAGAACCTCTGCTGTGTGAGGCAGCCCCACACCCCCACTGCTGGCAGCACTGCTGCTGGGTGTGTGCCAACCTGGGACCCACACAGGGGAAGTGGCTTCTGTGAGGGTCCCTTCAAACAAGGATGTTCTTGTTTGAGAGAAGGGAAAAAAGATAAAACAGAGTGATCTGCAGGAAACCAGACCAGATGGCACAGAATTTGCTTCCGGATACCTTGGCCAGGAAGTTGTTGGGATTGCTTTGCCTTCTTCCCTGACACCTGCAGGTCCTGCTCACCTCTGGCATGGCCACACCAGCAATAGGACCACTGGGGTGAGGTGGGGTGGGATGCCACTGTGCCCAGAGTGGCATCTGCTGTCCCACTGTGCTCAGCATGAAGCTTTTGCACTACTGCATCCCTACTGCCTGCATCCTTGTTGCATCTCTGCTGCTTCTCTACTGCATCCCTGCTACATTCCTACTGCATCCCTGCTGCTTCCCTACTGCATCCATCCCTGTTGCTTCTCTTCTGCATCCCTGTTGCTTCCCTGCCTGCATCCCTACTGCATCCATCCCTGCCTGCATCCCTACTGCATCCATCCCTGCCTGCATCCCTTCTGCATTCCTGTTGCATCTCTACTGCTTCCCTGCCTGCATCCCTACTGCATCCATCCCTGCCTGCATCCCCCACTGCATTCCTGCCTGCATCCCTACTGCATCTCCATTGCATCCCTGCCTGCATTCCCACATCTATCCCCGCTACATCTACCTGCTATCTCCACTATATCCCCGCCTGCATCCCGCTCCCTCCATCCCCTCCCGCTCCCGTTCCCACCCGCACAATCCCCACTCCCGCAGCCCCAGCACAGCCCCCCCATCCCTCTGGCCGCACTTTGGGTACCCGCACCCCCTCCATCGCCCCCGGAGCCGCTCCCACCGCTCTCCGCCTCCGCGGGGCGGTGCGCGGGGTCGCCTTATTAAAGGTGAAACGGCGCGGGGGGACGTGGGGCGATGGAGTACGCGGAGGCGGATTATTACTACGGGGAGGCGGAGGAGGAGGAGGAGGAGGGCAACGGGACGGCGTGCGCCTGGCAGGCGGACTGGGAGGCGTCCTTCTCGCTGCTGCCCGCGCTCTACGCGCTGGTCTTCGCGCTGGGGCTGGCGGGCAACGCGCTGGTTTTGCTGACGGTGTGGCGCGGCCCCCGAGCCAAGCGGCGCTCCGCCGACGCCTACATCGGCAACCTGGCGTTGGCCGACCTGGCCTTCGTGGCCACGCTGCCGCTGTGGGCCGCCTACACGGCGCTGCGCTTCCACTGGCCCTTCGGCGCGGCGCTCTGCAAGCTCAGCAGCTACCTGGTGCTGCTCAACATGTTCGCCTCCGCCTTCTGCCTGGGCGGGCTGAGCGCCGAGCGTTACCGCGCCGTGCTCCGCGCCGCCCCCCCGCCGCCCCGCGCCGCTTCCGCGCGTCTCCGCCGCCCCGCGGCTCTGGGCCCTCTGGCCGCGCTGTGGGCGGCGGCGGCGGCGGCCGCTCTGCCCGCCCTGCTGCTCCGCGAGGCGCGGAGGGACGCGCGGAACCGCACGCTGTGCGACCTGCGGTTGTGGGGGGAGGGCGGCGGCGCGGAGCGGGCGGCGGCGGCGCTCAGCCTCGGCACCACCGCGCTGGGCTTCGCCGCTCCGCTGCTGCTCATGGCCGTGTGCTACTGCTGCGTGGGGAGCGCCGTCCGCCGCCACCTGCGGCCCCGCAGAGCCGAAGCGGCGGCGAGGAGGAGGCTGCTGCGGTTGATCGCCGCGCTGGTCGGGGTGTTCGCCGGCTGCTGGCTGCCTTTCCATCTGCTGAAGAGCCTCTTCGTGCTGGCGGCGGCCGGGCTGCTGGAGCTGCCGTGCGCTCTGCTCGGCCTCATCTCCCGCCTGCATCCCTACGCCACCTGCCTCGCCTACCTCAACAGCTGCCTCAACCCGCTGCTCTACGCCTTCCTCGACGGCCGCTTCCGCGCGCAGTGCCGAGCGCTGCTGGGGCTGCGCGGAGCCCGACCGCCCCCCGCCGCCTCCTCCACGCCGAGCGCTCCGACGCAGCGCTCCGAGCTGCCCTCCTCGGGGGGCACCAAGGTGTAGCGGCGCCCCTTCCTCCCAATAAACGGCCGTGCCGCCCTCGGAGCTCGCTCCCTTCTTCGTCCCGTCGCGGTCGGAGCCCGCGCGGCGCTGCCCCGGCTGCAGTTTAGCGCTGGAGGCGTTCTGCGCTCAAGTCTCACCGGGTTCGGAGAGTGCGTTCGGCAGGAGTTAGTCCTGCATTGGTGATAGCGTGGGGCTGGTGTGAGATTGCACTCCTGGAGTGCCGCAGTGGAGTTAACCCTCCTGCTGGCACGGGACAGCCCTGTCCTGGGGCCGGGTGGTTGCTGGCAGTCCAAAGGCTTCTCCTTTGAGTCCCAGCTCTGCAAATCCAATGGGGTTCTTACTCTGTCCCAGCCCCCACACCCAAGACTGTGGCCGCAGCGTGCTGAGCCCAGCCCTGCACGGTCACCTGGAGCCCTCCTAGCTCCTCCTTGCTTTAATGGTAGCTCTACCTGAGCAGGGCACATCTCCAGCTTGGTCCAGCTCTCCTGCAACCCATTCAGCCTCTGCAAGGGGCTGCTGTGCCCTGGGGTGTGAGATCCAACCAGACCCAGAGCCACATCCCTGCAGCTGTGGGCATGAGGGGTGAGCTGCCAAACCCCAGACACAGGGAGTGGTGATGGAACTGGCCCTGCTGTGAGCACTGGGATGGAGAGCTGAGGGAGAGGGAAAGCATCCCAGCACAAAAAGCACCTGCCAGCTTCAAGGCTGTGTCCTGCATAGGCAGAGGTGACCCTGCAGGCTCTGCCCTCACCCTAGCTCTGCTCTGCGCTGAGGTGTCCCCTCCCTGCTGCCCCAGGGTGCCAACCCCTGTGTTGGCAGAAGGAGCTGGGACAGCTTGGGGTCCTCTCTGGGTTTCTGCTCCAGTGCTTCATACCTGGGAGATGTGTGCAGTGTCTGCACTCCTAAGTGCCCATGGAGGAAAGAGGAGGTGGTGGGCAAGCGCCAGGAGCCGGGCACTGCCTCCAGCTTCCAAATGTACTCTCACTGCTCAGGCTCAGACAGATGCGGAGCTTTGGGATGGGGGTGGTGGTGGCATACTGACCCTGCCTGTGCTGTCGGGCCCCCCTCTTCTTGTCCTCTGGCTCAGATATGGTGGGACAGTGGCTTGCACAAGGCCAGCAGAGCTGAGGAGAGAGCAGCAGGGGAATGGAAAGGAACCGAAGGGCAACGCAGCCCTGCACGAGGGCATACAGAACTCCAAGGGGTCCCACAGCCAGCGCCCACCTTAGGGGTGCATTGGGCCTCAGGATGAGCAGCACAACGGCTCCTGCAGCTGGGCCAGGCTCAGGCTGCCCCATGCTGCTGTGGGGCTGAGGATGCTGCTGCTGCCAGGAGCTCGTGGCCGTGGTAGGAAGCTGCCAGCTGCTCCTGGCACAGGGACAAGGGCCCACTGTGCCCCTCGCGGTGCCTTGGCACAGGGCTCAGTGCAGAGCTCAGTGGGTCCCTTCTCTCCTGCGGGGCAGACACCAGTGGAGCTTTTTATGTTGGCGGAGCCGCTTCCAGGCAGCTGGCAGGAAAAGGAAGGCCTCGTCCTCTTGTCTACGAACAAACAGCAGGGAGCCAACAAAGCCAGGGTCGGGCTGGGGCTGCCCTGCAGGGCTGGGGATTCCTCTGCTGCCCCAAGGTGTTGCCCTGGAGACATGGCAGCTCAAGGTGGCACCTCTGCTCATGCCCACGTTCCCAGGCGCCCGCAGCCCCTGCACAGACAATGCAACACTTCATGAGCCCCCACTGCAGCTGGGCTGCAGATTCCCTCAGCCCCACAGAGCAGCCCGGGGTGGCTGAGCATCCCAGACCTGCACACCACTGCTGTCCCGGCCAGCCTCAGCTGCAGCCTTGGAGCCGTGGCCACAAGCAGCCTGAGCCTCAGGTACCAACACAGCAGATGCTTTGCTCTGAGGGCTTGGTCACAACACTGGCCTCAGAAGGGCCTTAATGCCCCCGGCCTGAAGGTGCTGGTCAAGTGTGAGTTACATCTTGGGACCCTGAGGCCACAACAAGAGAGGATTGAAGATAGCTGCAGGCACAGGACTGCGTCCCACTCACAGAGGAACCAAATACCACAACAGGATGGGAATCACAGCACAGCACAATGCTGCCGAAGAGCAGCTGGGTCTGGTTTTGTGCTACCACTGGAACAGAGCTTGTGCAAAGCCTTTCCTGGCACACATGTGGGCTTTGAAGACATACAGAAAACACCGTCAGCACAGGGCTGCCTTTAGACAGGAGCTCCTTCAGATGCTGCCTTTGGCTTTCTTCTTTCCTCTTGAGCCTAAGGCAAAGTTATCCTGGAACAATCACCACAGCAAGACCCAAAAGTTGATGTTCAAGCATTTATTTTCCTGCCTCGTTATTAAATACATGTATTTGCACCTGCATGGATGCCCTGTCCCTGCAGACACCCAAGGTGAGGGGATGGGACTCCGAGCACCTGACCAGTGGGTGTCCCTGTTCAGTGCAGTGGAGTTGAACCAGATGGCCTTTAGTGGTCCCTTCCGACTCAAATGGTTCCATGATTCTAAGTAAAACTGAAACCGCTGCAAAGAAACAGCAGGAAGGTCTTGAGAATGGCTTTATTAGCACCTAAGAGTTCTTGGCTTCCTTTTCCTAGCAGAACTGAAGGTGAGAGGAGGCAGTTGTGCATCAGCTGCACTGATGAATGTAACTCCAGTGAAGAAATATAAACTTGATCAAAAGTATTTGGTACGAGAACAGAGATGAAATGCCATGAAGAAAATTTAAAACTGAAAATAAGAAGTTCCCAGAAAACAGAGGAGTAAAATCATGTAACACCTTCCTAAAGGGAGGAGTATGGGATCCAACTTAGAAACACATGACGACTATTGGTTCTACACTGCCATGCTCCCAGTGGTATGAATTAAAGCTTACTAACTGCATTATCCTCGAGCTGTACTTCAATGAAATCTACTTCTTCAGAACTCCTGCCGCTCACCTGGGGAGGACAAAGGTTTCTTCTCACCTCAACACAGAACTCAGGTCCTACAGAGGGAACATCTCTACCTGAGCAGCAGTGTGCAATCCCCGTTAACACACCTCCAACACACGTGAAGAGCTTGAGAAGCTGGTGGAGGTTGCTCCTGCATTTATGGAAGGATGCTTCTTGCCTTCAAGTACACGAGGATCCTCAACCTGAACAAAAGCAATCAGCCTCAGACTGTATGCTGTCACAAGGGCCTGAAATGCGGGTAAATGAACCAATCTTCCCTCTTTTCTGCTTTTTATTTTTCCTGTGGTACGCAGAACTTAGAGCTGCTCAGTAACAGATGTTTACTTGGAACTGGGTTTCCTCCCTGCAACATCTACCACACATTCAGCTTACAAAGGAATGGCAACAGCGCAGTTCATTTGGTGTTCCTGGAGGTGGGCATGTCTTGCTCACGCTGTGACTCATGAAGCAGTTGGGCTGTAGAGGTTTCTGAGCATGGACTCATTTGTACTCGCCTCGTGTGAGCAGAGCTGAGCAGACAGCTGGCCAATGAACTCAAACCACGCGGTCTGTGCAAGAAGTGCTCTGCAAGGAGCTGCAATTCAGCCTCCAGCTTGGAGCAAGAGGGAAAGGCAATGTCCTTGTTGCTGAGCCAAGGGCCTGACAAAAATTAGCAGTTCAGGGCTCTGAGTTCCAGTACTTCAATTAAAATTACCTGGAATGGCAAGAGGATCAAAGCAACACAAACCTGAGGGAATCAGGACAGAACATAGGGTCACTTTATTTTCAGCTGGCCAAGGGGCTCTGCTGCTGTTGCAATTATGTCTCAAAGAAACAGCAGCAATAACATGTGATAACTGCTAGGAAACAACGTGAACTCCAGCTTTCTTCCTCTGACCACCGCAATTCGCTGCGAGCCACGTGAGCAGCCAAACTCTCTTTAAAGGATCCTCATCCTCTGTACTGTCAGCACCACGACAATTCCACCTGCTTACACAGACCCTACACTCAACAACTGCACGAATGCCAGCCCCTACCCCCACACTCAGCTTTGAGAATCCTCACAGTTGCACCCCCTCCACACACACTGCCTGGATCCCTACTCTGAAGCTCAGGTCTCTGTTTTTCTCTACATCAAGAGAAGTTCTCAAGTCCTGGCCTCCTCTCCCAGTGTTTAAAACCTAGTTTCAACTTCCTGTCAGATTCTTATAAGACAACTTGCTAGGCATGAGATTCTGGTCTTCCAGGTTTAACATGTACCTCAGATGCAAAAAGGGGACCCACACTTTTACTTCACTAAAACCACACAGCAACCCTCCCATCATACCAGGCACAGTTCCCATTTATTTTAAAAATAAATATTTATAAACAAAAGGAAGAAAGAAATTCAAAGAATTATAATGTTAAAAACCTTCCTGCCAAAAGCACAAATGTCCTTTTCAGTCACAACAAGCTGTACACCAAAACAATGGCAGCACTGTCTACAAGCTCTCTTCTTTCATCTGCTGTCATAGACTTCTACTGCAGGAATCCACATCTCCATCAAAGTAACCAGCAATTCTACACTTCCTGAGGATGTGTAATGCTATTCAGTCTCCTTTTGTGATCAGGTCCTCGATATATGCATCCAGTTCATCATCTGTATTAATATCAATGTCCTGCAATGAAAAGAACAAGAAATGTCAGTGAAAAAGTGAATCTTGAAGAGCAGTGCGAGAATGGAAAGAACAAAACCCCTCCTTGTCCAGCGACACAGCATCTTCTGCAGCACCCATCCTGACTGCCACAAGGTGGGCAGTGACAGCAGCACACAGCTGCTTCTGCTGGTCTGGACCCAAGTGGCACCACACTGAGAAAGAATCACAGTCATAGCATCACAGAATGGCCTGGGTTCCACAGGGTTCATCAGTTCCAACACACTGCTACATGCAGGGTCGCCAACCAGCAGCCCAGGCTGCCCAGAGCCACATCCAGCCTGGCCTTGAATGCCTGCAGGGATGGGGCATCCACAGCCTCCTTGGGCAGCCTGTGCCAGTGCCTCACCACCCTCTGGTTGAAAAAGAAAGAACTGAAGTACAGCTCAATTCTGGACTAAAACACCCAGTGCCCGGACTGGCCTTGGTCTGATGAAGGTCACGGTGCTGTGGTTCACCCACCTCCTGCACCTTCTGCAGCAAAGCCACAATGTTAGTCCTCAGCTTCTGCAGTTTCTCCTCCGTTTCCTTCAGCTTTCTCTCAGTATTGCGCAGGTTTTCTTCACAGGCTTTGGCCCGGGCATCAGCACGGGTCTGATATGAATTGCACAGGTTCTGCAGACCCATCTCGTACTGTTTGAAATAGTCTTTCTATGGAACATAAAAACAACAAGAGAGGACACGTTAAAAGAAGCACTAAATGTAAAAGAGACCCCAGCAGGACCGAACAACACGAGGGTAACGCAGCCCTTTTGTACTCCCTGGCTGCTCACATTCCATTTTCAATTCCATTTTCAATTCCACACTCCTTGCCATGCTCACATTCACATACCTCATCTGCCTACGGTATGAAGCACAGAAATCACACCGGTTTTCCCATTCCCAAAGACCAGAAATGCAACAGAAGCGGACCGAATTCAGATTAAGGACACTGTGGTTTGGCAGTATGTCAGAGAAGAGAAAAGCCAGCGGAGCCAGTATCAGTTCTCTGCATTTTTCTATTAGCAGCACACGGATGCTGGTGCAGACTCAGCCACCAAAGGAAGAACAGACTGTTCAAGCAGAGAAGACTTCATCCCTGTTGGTTGACTCCCACCACTTCTGATATTGTTCAGAGAACCTACGCCTCTGGGTTAGGGAAGGAAACCCACAGAGCTGTTTTGTGGGGGCCTCCTTCCAGTCATTCAAACTACGGGGGAAGAAAAAGCCCTCAAAGCTTATGAAGTATTTCCTGAACACAGCACAGTGCTGCAGCTCACAGTACTGACTCATAACAAACACGTTTCAGCTATGCTGCTGGCAAAGGCCAGGAGAGAATTTCAAGCATGTGTTCTCAGCTTTAGTACATATATCAAGGAAATCAGGATACTGACCCCCATGCAGAATCCCATTTGTTCCTTGCTCAACCTTAAGGTGAATCACTGGTGGGCTGTGAATCTTGAAATTCTGCTCCATCTCTGTGAGCCTGGTCATCTGGAGAAGTACAAGGGGGTTGGCTTCCATGCTCCCTCTTATTTTTCAGATGGTCTCTTTGTAAGTTGGACTTAAAGGTTGGGGGTAAATGAACAGATGTGCCTACATTCCATTTCTATAGATCTCAGACCCGGCCTCTCTTGTTAAAAACTTAACAGCACTGGATAAGAACTTCAGGTAGCAGCAGCCAACAGCTTTCCCACGCAGATGTATGGTAATAGAAGACCTGAGGCACCATTTATGAACTCTTTTTTTCCCCCTCAGATACACCAGTCTGCTAAGGATACAAATGAGCTTCTGAGGTGCGCAATCCCGCAACCAGTGGATGCAGGCTTGTCGTAAGAATGGGGAAAAAATCCCCAACAAACTACACAGTTTATTTTTCCAGATGTACTGAACTCACCAAGGGAAATGCCAGCAATCCTTCTGAACTCATGGAACTCAACTCCTTCTTGGAAATAGGAAAATTTGGAGGCAAGAAGTATCGCAAACAATTCCTATGCAGGAAAGAAGAAACAAAGCTGGAGTTTGAGCCTGAAAAAGGAAAGCCATCAGGCTGCAGCAGCTCACAAGGAAAACTGTGAACTCACCGAAGGATCTGAACTAGTAAGTCCACTGTTTCTTGGCCACTGCTAGGACCTGTAGTGTCTGGTTCAATTCCAACACTTTCTGAGGTAGAAGGTTCAGCCACAACCAGCTCCTCTTCCTGCTGTGTGTCTGGACTCTGGTGCTCTGGAGAGGGAGGCTTCATCAATCTCACATCCTCACTACCCTTCTGTACCCTGTGAAGGGGAAAAAGAAAGGGAAAATCAGATATATTGACCTACATCAGTCACACCTGAAACACTTAACAGCTTCATCAGAATCCGTACATATCTGCCACTGAGACCTCTAGATCACACAACAGCTGCCTCCAGGGGAGCATCACATTCAAGTGGTGAGCAGATTGTACTGAGTTTGTTGTGTTCACTCTTTGCAAAGCAGCTGAGCTGTCCTGAGTGCACACACACACACACACACACACACACACACACACTCCCTGACATGACAGCAATGTATTTCTGTCTTCAGTATCTATGTAAGCAAACCAGTCTTCCTCTTGAAAGCACAACAAGCCTCCAAAATGCAGTAGCTGAAGATAGTTACCAGCGATCTCTTGGCGTGGTGTCTGTAGGAACATAATCAAACTTCACCTTCCAGCGTATGGCACGCTTGCCCTTTTGCACAGCTGTGACACGGCCTGTGAACCATTCCTTGTTCACACGGACCTCCACGTGCAGCCCTTTGTCTGCAAGGAAGGAGACAGCAAAGATGTGGGCAAATATTCAGACGCTGGCGGTCGCATTCTGCTTTATCTTTAGAGAAGGCAGCCACTGGGAGCTAACCTAACTGTGACAGCTCCTGGAACGGTACATGAACCCAAAAACATCACTACCACAGGGCTGAACTCCTATTTAGAAACATTCGTACACGAGGAAATGGCGTGGCACTCTCAGACACTGTTTCTGCTGTATCTGGGCAGTTCAGGCTCATATTAGACTAGGACAACTTCCTATGGGTTTCTACTAGGTCACTTTCCATTCAGGATCTTGGGAACAAGCTGCAGAAATTAACTGGTCTGGCAGAAGATGCAACAGCATCTTTACTACAGGTCTCTCAGCCCTTCTTCTTCAGAAAGAAGAAATTCATTGCATTAATGAACTGACACATTTAACCAGTGAAACACCTCTTTTTCACTGTATCGTGAGTTCCTTTCTCACCTTTCTGAGCTTCCTTCAGTTCTGCCATATCTTCTTCCCCTGCACTGTCTGTGAGCTACAAGCAAAGCGAGGTCAGGTTAGATGCCTGCTGACAAGATGGCAAACACTTGACAAACACCTTCTGCTGCAGAGTCTTGTGCACTCTCACCTCCACCACCACCTCGCTGGGATCTTTCTTCTCCTCTTTCACTGCTACAAATTTGCCTCGTTTTATCCTCTCCTTCTTGCACTCTACTTCCTCCTCAGACAACTCCTCAGCAGTGCATACAGTCCTCTTCCTGGGGGTGCAGGCCTGAAGGAGGCAAACAAGCTCCAGCTGTACCTCAGGTATGTTATAAAACAGAATTTATTTGCCAAATATTTAAAAAAACAAACAGGAAAAAACAAAAAGCCCCACCAACTCAGCACACGTATCTTCACTATTCAAGGTTTTACAGGGTGCCGTATGATAACAGGAGCCCTCAACCCTGCTGCTCCATTACTTCTCTGTGATGTGACACAGCAGCACGGGCTGTGCAGAACAGCAGGTAAGGAGCTGATGGTTTTCACCCCACTGAGTCTCACCTGGGGCGATCTGACAGTGGCAGGTTTCTTTGGTGTTGACACCTTGGCAGTTTTTGAGTTGGGTGTCTCACGTGGGCTTTTGGGGCTCTGTGGGACAGCAGAGGAGGGTTTGGTTGGTGTAGTTGGTTTGGCAAGAGTCTTTGAAGTGCTATTGTATTTTCTGGCTGTCACAGCTGTTACAGCATCGTGGTACATCTTGGAAGTGCTGGCCTCCTCCTTGGAGAGAATGCTTGCCAATCTGGGAGTGTTAATAGCTGTCCAAGTTGAAGAGCCCCTCTTCAGCTGACTGACAGACCTGGAAGGAGGTGTAAGTGGTGGCGGTCTGCTGGGAGCATTCTTGATGACATCGGGTAAGGGAGGAGATCGTGGGCGCTGCGATCGAGTCACTGGCTGGATGTTCCAAAACAGATCAAGGTATATAGGGAGAACAGACAGAAAAGTCAGGCTCTGAGCTAAGGACAGTGCAGAAGAGCAGCCTACACTCTAATTGAGTGCTATCCCAATTACCTCCCCTGCAGGCCGTGTGGTCACTTCCAGAGGCAGCTTCTTTAAGTCAGCTTGAGATCGAACTGGCGTGGTTTTCTATGAAGGAAAGAAAACCCAGAAAGTTTACCTTTAAAAGCCACACTAACCCAGCCTAGCAAACTGTCTGCCCATTCCAAAAAAGATCAGCAATGGTAAAGAAGGCACTTTCTGCTGTCTCTCAAGAGCAGGACACCAGCAATCAACTCCCACCTTCCTAACAGGAAATGAGACTTGAGATATTCAATTAAAACAACCCCACCCAATGAATGTGACACAGCACACGCAGCATTCGGGGCCATTACCCATTACTCTCAGCATCATCTGCTTCCACCAGGTGCCTCAAAGCCTGCTGTGCTGAGTGGGAGACCTCCAGGTTTACCTGCAGTGCTTCCAGTTTTTCCTGCTGCTGCCGGATTTTCTCTGACAGTTGTTTCTGCTTTTCCTCCTGCGATTTTGAGTCCTTCTTCAAGGTTCCCAGTGGTAATTTCTGCTTCTGCTCTGGAGCTTCACACCTAGCACCAAAGGAAAGCAAGACAACTTCAGTACAGACTGCAGACTCTACACCTCTCTCACTTGCAGCACTGTGCCCATCCTCAGCACGGCACTAAAACAGCCCTGTTTTAAGGCTGTAAAGCCCCTTTTTCTTTCTGCAGCAGCCACAATCCCGGAGATACAGCTGTTTTCTCCCTCGTGGGAGATCTCATGGGAAATACACGTTGTAAGGATCAAAAGCACTGCCAATAAGCCAAGCCATTTACACTGGGAATTACCAGTTCCAAGCCCCGGAGCCATCTTAAATGAAGTTTGGGGATAGGCCAATACAAAGATGGGTAACAATTTGACTGCATGAACTACTGGTACAATCATATTTCCAGTGACAGTGCAGAAAGCCCACAGAGGAACTTCATTTCACAGAAGCATAGAATGGCTGAGGTTGGAATGGACCTTCTGGAGGCCATCAGTCCAACCCTTCTGCTCAAGCAGATGCCTAGAATAGGTTGCCCAGGACCACGTCCAGATGGCTTCTAAGTATTCACAAGGAGGGAAACTCCAGTCTCTCTATGCAGTCAGTGCCAGAGCACAGTCACTCTCGTGTTCCAAGTGTTTCCTGATATTCAAGGAGGATCCTGCTTTATTTCAGTTTGTGTCCATTGCTTATCACAATGCAACACTGCTTCTCTTGCTTGCAGCACTCTTCCTGATGCAGCCCAGAACACCACAGGTCATCTTTGCACACTGCCAGCTCATGTTCAAGTTGTGCCCACCAGGACCCCCAGGTCTTTTCTGAACAGCTGCCTTTCAGCTGGACTCTCATCATGTCCTGGTGCCTCAGGCTGTTCCACCTCAGGTGCAGGACTCGTGCAATTCCTGCTGAATACCATGAAGTTCCTATCAGCCCACTGCACCAGCATGTCCAGGTCCCTCTGGAGGGCAGCACAACCCTTTGGCAAAAGAGCCACTCTTCCACTTCTGCATCAGCAGCAAACTTGCTGAGAGCACACACTAATTTGCCACGTCCACCTGCGTGTCAGCACTAATTAGTGTGCCCTAACTACTTGGTTAGACAGCAAGCACACCCAAGGTATCCATACAGGTACAGAACTACTGTCTGTCTCTCCAGCTATTCCCCCCCCCCTAAAAAAAAAACCTCCTGACCATAAATATGCAAATAAGGCATTATTTATATTAACTGATTCTTACCTATTTTGTTCAGGATCAGGGTTCATAGAGCACACCCAACTATCAGGGTAATTCTTCTCCACTGAACTCAGCTGGAATGGGAGAGTCCTCCATTTCAGGCATACATCTGTTAAAGTAAACACTTTGCAAATCAGAAATGCACAGCTTGAGGCACACAGCCATGCTCTTTCTATAGCACTTCTCAAGTTTATTCAATGCCCAAGGACCACATCTATTTCCAAAACATATTCCATGACATTTATGACTAGTGGCAAAGTACAGATGTACACAATATATACCTTCCCTTTGAGGAAGACCTCAAATCTGGTAAACAAAGCAACCACAACAATAATCTGATGAAGCCTGGCATCAACTAATACTTGAGCACTTCACTGCTACAGTGACAGCACTTACAAATGGAGGCCATCCTGAAATCACTGCTCATCTCAGGAGGCAGGCTGTCTCTTACTGGCACCAACACTCAAGAACTCAGAGATATAACCACTACAATTAGATAATGTAATAGATTCTAGATGAGTCAGATGTACTGTGTTTGGTTTTTAGGGCACTGCTGGACTACCAGGAAACCAACATCTTAAAAATTAATAGAAGATGAGCATTTATAAATCAGGCTCTGGGAGGACTTCACAAGCCATGGCTGATGTCAACAGCGAAGATGATGAAGAATAACAGGAAAGTTCCTCTTATGTTCTAAGAAACTGGAAGTTACTGAGAAAACCATCTAGGGAGGAGAGCATGACAAAATAATTCCAAAAGATTGGCTCTACGTTCCTTGCTACATCCTCATTCCCAGTTCCCGTGGGAAAATGGTCATGGGAGTTTGGAGTCCCTCTATGAAATGAGGAAGTGGTTATGTTGAGATCTCTCTTCTCCCAGCTGGAATAAGGGCTTAGCCAGAGCGACTCAGCAATGCACAGAAGAGAAGCTAAAGAGATGACTGTAAATGGATCTCTTCTGTGCTATATCCAGAGCTGTTTAATAGGTGGTGCATCAGAACACAAGGCACTCGGCTGCCCTCCATTGCTTATGGGGAACTTCGAGATCTTATTTGCCTTGAGATGGGTGGCTTTGATCAATCCCACTTCCTATGACATTTCTAAGCCCATATTCAACTCTCCTGCTAAGTACATCTGTGCTGTTCTGTAAGGCTGCCTAAAGAAAATCATGATCAGCACACTATGCAGGACCAGAACCTTATTTTAAGACATTTAACTCTACCAGCAGATGCTGGTTAAAAGGCAGAGGGAACCACGATAGAGGAGTTTGTCTCAAACCTCCTCCCATTTATCTGTCCCCAAATTGGGGTTCCTCCCACGGAGGAGCAGCCTCCCACCGCTCACACGCACCGCACTGGATGGTGGTAGGGATCTCCATGGCTCTGCGGCGCTTGTAGCGCAGTTCACTGGATGGAGGCTGGTTCCAGTTTGCTGACAGATAACCAAACTCATCCCAGAACTTGATGATACCCTTCTGGGCTGGAAAACAAACAAGCTTCCATTCAATACGGAGTTATGATCATAGACATCGTCACGTTCACTCTTGGTTGTCCTCTCCCTCGGTTCCCTTCCAGCCCAAATTTCCCCCTCATGCCCCTGGAAACTGTAAAGCTTCATTACCTATGGCTACATCCTTCCAGTACTGAGCTAAATGCTCTCCCATAGCCTTCAGCAAGTGTCGGTATTCTTTGGCATCAGCAAAGTCTTGTTTGTTATGAGTTGGCTCCAGAACCAGATAGGGCACATCCACAACGCCGACTACTCCACCACACGCCCTGCAAGAGGAACACACAGTCAGGAACAGCATTAAACTGGTCGATCATTGCTCAGACACACAGCACGGGGCACAGCTGATGGCACACACACAGTCACACACGTGCGCTCTGGCAGCAGTACTGTTCTTAAGTTCATCAGCCTTCTAATTCAGACTTGAGCTGCTGTGGAGAGAACTCACTGTTCATTGGGAAAACATGGAACTACTGGGAAATGTTAGAATACATGTTATTTGTCAGAATCCAAACCAAAGGTTGAGAAAATGAAAGCCTCATGCTCACGAAGAACGATTAACGCAGAAAAAGATTATTGGAAGGCCTAAGTTATGTGTAAGAACATGCAGAAATATTGCTGAAAAATCTCCAAAAACTCACATGCCACCCTCCAGCTGTGGGCCCACCTTCTCATACATCTTTATCAGTCGACTGCAGTTATAAATGAACATGCCATCCAACTCACGCTGCTCAATATTCACACCAAAAATGAAATTCAGCTCTTTGGGTTCCTTCAGTGCCCTGTAACAGCGAAAAGAAAGGAGTTCTAAGTATTTTGTCCTCATTTCTGAAGACCAGAAGTTTTGTTGAGCGTATGTTACACCTGAAGATGAGTAAAGCATGAAGACTTCACAATGCAGACATCAATTTGGGCTGAACATTACTTGTTGAGGCAATCTAATTCTTCATTTGGATCATTTCTCCTGTGGGAATGGATTTTTGGCTTGTATATCAAATCTAATACTTACAATACTCCAGTAGAGCAGAGTTTTATGAACACACTGGTAGCACAGACCCATCCTCTCCTACAGCACTTTGGTTTGTATCTTCCAGATGCAGCTCCCTGTGCTGCTATCCCTACAAAACCACAGTCTCAACAGTCAGATTTTTGGAAATCTCTCCAAACACCAATTTTTACAAGGTTATCACGCCAAGTTTGAAAGCTGCACAATGCAACCATCAGCCTCACAAGAGCTGTTGGTTTTGTGTTTGTTTTCCTGGCAATGTCAGGTTGGCAATTTATGCAATTTCTGACTTCTTTACACAGCAGAGAACTTCAACAGGAGTGGTCTTAAGTCCATTTGTGAGCACATCCAGATTTCTGAGTCTGAATCAGCAGATTCCTATTCCCCCCGTCAGGAACCGTATCTCCTGCAGCGCAGGAAGCCTTGGGAGACTTCAGTATCCGTGTTACAAAATCAAACAAAACCCACATATTTACAAAACTGTTCTTTAACAGATTAAAACAGATTCCACAGCTTTCATGAAACCCAGACGGAGGGGTTTTTGTAATGAGGATTCGTAGCCTTAGTTTCAGGCTGGAGGTAGCACCAAACACAAGGCAAAGGGTTTTAACCTTTACCTCGCGCTGTCTGTACCACTGTCCTGCCTTACTCCCACCTGCAGTGCCCAGGGAGGTGCTTGGCTGCTCTAAGTGCTTAATTCCTAGAGCAGAATGATGGAATGATTAAGGTTGGGAAAGAGCCCTACGCTCACCAAGTCTGACCACCAACCACCACCAAAGCACAACCCTCAGTGCCACGGCTGGGTGAAGATGCTTGGAATTCTTTCTGACAATCTGCTGGCCAGTCTGCTACCACTATCAGATACTGAGAGAACCTGAGCTGTGCCTTCATGAGCATCACATAGCAGTAACCCGTAGCTCTAAGACTGGAGCCCAGCTTAACGTTTAAGCTCCTCAAAATAAATCCCAGAAGCAAACTCATTTCATGTCTGTTTTCAGTTTTCTTGAGGTCAACTTTGCCTCCACATAGACACATATAGATATATATACACCCTTTCTTGGAAACAGAAGCTCCCACAGGGCCTCTAGAGGGACACAAGAGACCAAAATGCCTCAAAACCTCCCGTTCTGCTGTTGGCTTCTGAGGTTCCCTGGACAAGGATGTAAGGCCTTGAATTTCAAGTGAAAAGGTGTGCTCTCCTACAGAATAGGAAGGGCATCTCCTCATTTTTACCAGAGAGGACACAAAGTCAAATTATGACTCAAATAATGAAGAACAAAGTGTTTGTTTAAAGCCCAGCCAACCAGCTGGACTCGTGTAGTTGTCCTCTGTGCTGGATTTATGACCTGACCTTACACACAGGCTTTGGGAACCAGAAAGAAGAACACACACTGGTCTAGAACTGGCTGCACACTTATTCATCCCTGCTCAGGAGCAGAGCAGCTGAGCCTACACAGCAGTCAGGAGAGAAAGCTGTTTTCCCCGCTGTCTGATGGTTGTCACATCTGTTTTCCTCATCACCGCATATTTGAAACCTGACTATAACTCACATTTAAGCAGGAAGAGCTGCTGAAGAAAGTCTGGAATTTCTCATTTCCAAACAGACAACAAAGGCCATACAGAAGCTAGCTGCTTTATTTTAAGATCAGTGTTTGCTGTTCAGCTCTTTTAAAGGAGAAGCACTTTGCCCACTGGTCCACTGACAAAGTTATACTTAGACATACATCTGCGTTCTCAAAACTAAGAATGAAAAGACAAACTTTCCATGCACAATTCAGATGGAAGCCGAAGATCACAGCTCTACCACTTTTGAATTAAAATTACTTCAGATTTTAAAATGCATCAAGTTCATTTCTGGCAACAAGTGTGGGATAGTCCTGACCCAGGCAGGGATGTAAATCAGCATGCAAAACAAACAGCCAGGAACAGGGACTTGGTACATACAAATCCCTAACCGTGCTCACCATCAGCCTTTGCTTTAAGGAATCAGCCTGTATGTCAATCAGCCTTTACTTTGAGAGATGCAGTTTTCTGTTAGGATTTGTGAAAACTCCTCATTTGTAAAATGCATACGAAAAATATGCAGAAAACTCACATATAAAGAGTTAATTATTCCCACGACTGTATCAGTAGCAAAGTTAACTGCAGCCTGAGCTAAGTTATAACAACATTAGGAATTGATGGCAAGGACTGCAACAGAATTCAGCAAGCTCTGAGGAAACACCTCTGCAACTCCAGAAGTCACTTCACTGTTAGTTTATAACGTGTGTTTGTTTCCCTGAATCTTCAATGCAAACGGATAAGCAAGAGAATGAAAAAAGCTGACGTTAAAAGAAGAAAAAAAAAGCTATTTTCAAATGCTTTTCTCAGGAACTAAGAGGGGAACAGCAGAAGCAATAAAAAAAGCCAACTCACCCCCCAGTGCGCACACACACAGTGCCCACACGTTTTTAAGCTCCGAGCTGAATTTTCCACTCTATCACATGCAGCGAAGCAGGAGAAACATTGGAGCACGTGGAATGAACAGGCTGAGAAGGTCAGAGCTCGCAGCTGCCTCGTACTCACCGCTGCTTTGCATCCTTAATCCTCTTCTTGACGTCGGCCTCCCGGCGCAGGGTTATGGCCGAGTTCTGCACCTGACGTAACGTCACCTGCCAGCACAGTGAAACTGCTGCTGTGAGATCCAGGAATGCTCCATTCCCCAGGTTTTTTCTCTCTCCCCCCTCTTCAAAAAGATCTCACAGATCTTCCAAATGTAAAGAATTCACCAGCTGTGCTGGGCAATAATTAGCACCCCCAAACACAGAGGGCTGCGCCAGTTGCTGGGTTGCTTAAGCAGCTACACAGTTGCTTAGAAGGAAGCATCCAAATGTAACTGCCAATGCAACCAAAGCCATAGGGTGAAGGGCAGGACACAAGAGGGAAATAGCTGGGATACTCCAATGCTGTATTTTTTGTTAGCTGTCATTAAGGAGTAATTTTAAGCTCGGCCACTTGCTGCACCACCTGGCAGCTCCATCCCAGCTCAGCCTGTCCACCTCTCAAAGCAGGGCTGCAGCTTCCCAAGGTACCACCAGAAGGAAACAAAAAGAACTTTCTAACAAAAGTTTAAGGAAACTGAGGATCAAACTGCAAGAGCAGTAAAGAGAGAGGATCCAAAAGAAAGGAAATAAAATCCCAACAGTTCTGCTTTTCTTCCAGTACTTTGCGTTCCCTCAGCCTCAAGAGAGCAGCAATCAAAGCACCTTCACAGTAAAGCTCAAACATTGGCAGGAGATCATTGACAGATATTGATAGATATTGAAAGGTGTGTGCACTGGAGTACCAGCATGCTTCCTTCTCACTGGGGCTGGAAAACAGACAGGCTTAAGCACGTCCTGCAGCGACGACACCGCTGATGACTGAACAGTGCTGACAACTTATCTCCAACAGAAGTCACCAGCTGCTTCCCTCGCGTACCCAACTGCTAACAGCAGGTGCCAAGCATTAGTTCTCCCATCCAAAGCCACGGTTCTGAACCTCTCCCTCGGTGCCCAACACACCCAGCTTGGCAGAAAAGCAGGACTCACCCTGGACTCCCGTGTAAGGTCCCCCCCAAGGCGCAGCTCGAACGCACGGGCTTTGCTTTCTGCCTCCCGAGCCTTCTCCTCCGCTGAAACACCACGAGAAAGAACAGCATTAACCAACAGCACCAGCACCAGCCACCCAGCACAGGCAGCACGGCATCCAACTGGGGTTAAAGATCTGCACAGATGGCCTGTGCTGGGTCACCTGGACAAGGGAGAGATGACAAAGTGACACAGAAGGGTACAAAAGAAAGTGTTACACATGAGATGATCATTAACAGACAAACTAGAGTCAGAGGGCGCAGACAACATTGGCACAACAGCAGGGCTGAAATCTGTGAAGGAAGGAAATCTCAAAAATTGTGCATGTTCACCGTATTTTTCCTGGAAAAAAATGTTCATCTGTGCTACACACAAAACAGGACACAGAAAACCTACCATTATGTCCAATGCTCTTTGCATACACAAATTTTACCACCTAAAAGAACTTCCTCTTCCTGCCTCTTTTACATATTACCAACAGGACTGCATGCCAGCTGGCACACACTGCCCCATACACCCACCCACTTCAGAACCATTCAACAAATTTCATTTTCAGCAGAGAAATTCCTTCCTAAAATGGAGACACAAACAGCTCTTGCAAGTTAGCAACGCATACCTCGCATCTGCATGCTCTCCCATCCAAAAGCACACTGGCTACGATCCTCTAATACCTCCCTTTCATGTCAGAAGGCTGCTGTGCTTACAGCTGTGTGGACAAAGAGCTCACTGTTTGGAACACATCTCTTTTCTCCATCCCACACACTACGAGGCCCCATGGTAAATGTGGACTGGCAAGTCGTGCCCTGTTTGGGCAGGGGATGCCTCCAGCTGCAGCTGCCACCTGGACCATACATCTCACGGAGGTATTTTGGCTGCTGATGCAGGACTGATGTTACTGCAACACTGTGTCAGCTTATGGGAGCAGAAGTTGCTGAGAAATTACTGTGGAGATTTCTAACAGGAACATATTGATGTATATAAAAATGTATGCACAGAAACGTTTGCATGCACCATCGCTAGAAAAAAGGATGAGATATGCAGGGTGAAGCAAAATATCACAGTAGGATCTTGGAAACAAGCAGCATCTCTCCAAAAAACAATGCTCTCTTCTCAACCAGAAAGAACCCAGATGTTGTAGGGAGCATCTGCTGGGTGGTCACCACCACCCTCAGTGCTGGGTCAGAATTACATGAGGAAATGCACATCCGTAGTGCATCCAGGTATGAGAACGCAAGTGGGTCGTCAGCTTGGACCATGGAAGGTCACCTTTCCTTTCTTCTCGGTGTTGTGTTGTAGTTCTGTTATTCTAGCTCCCACTGAAGCACACTCCAAGGGTCAGAGTAACTTTATCAAGCAAGGAACAGCTTAACTGCACTGCGTGACAGACTGAAGTCACCCAGTGCCCTCACAGTGCCCTCACAGTGCCCTCACAGTGCCCTCACAGTGCCCTCACAGTGCCCTCACAGTGCCCCTACAGCTTGGTTAAATGGGAAAACACAGAAATTTGGAGACAGCTTAAAAACACATCCCCTGGAATATCCCATCTGTATCTAAGCTGGATTGCAGCAGCTGGCAAACTAAGCACAGTCAGGTCTGAAGGGAAGAACGGAGTGCTGCCTGTCCATAAGGTGATACCTGCTTTATTAAAGCAATGGCAACTTAGGAGGATGTCTGACAGGGCACAATTCATTTCCAGGTCTGAGAGTGGAGGGCCTAACAGACAAAACCACTCCAAGCACACAGAAGTTAGTCAGCATTCCAAGGAGAGCAACGGCATGGCACACCAACAGCACTGCTGAGAAATGTAAAGCTCAGAATACAGCTCTTAATGACTTCTGGTGCTGGACTTCTACATAACTCTTCACCTTTTCTATCTGCTTGCTTTCCAAAATGAGCTCTTTGAACTCTAAAATGGCAATGCCTCAATGAAGTTTCCTGGAGCTGTAGAGGTCCATCTGGTCACTGAGGGATGCTACAGCACATCACAGGAGGCAGAAAAGTTGGTTCTCAGAGATTGAGGTATCTTTAATACCAGCATGTCTCTATTTCTGGACTGTAATACATATAGGATGGTGTGCATTCTTGCAGAAAACAGATTGGAAATAAGTCAAAACTAATTTTCTCTATCAACAGCAGAAAGAGAGCCCTTGGTACATGGAACAGAATATTAAAGATGAAGCTGACTTTCCCAAAAGCAAAGAAATGAGATCCGTTCCACTGCAGCTGAGGTTAAAACAGGAATGTTTTAGCCCTGAAGACTTAATGCAAACAAGGTCTGATGTTCACCACGAGTTTTCAGCATGCTCAAAGCTCTTTGTTTGGCAGTCCCTTAGTGCTTTGGTTTGTGTTTCAGTGCTGATAGCCATTTCAGTGCTGGTATCTGTTCTTGGCGCTGGGACACTGAATGGCAGCATTCCTCACTGCCAATGCACTCAAGCTCACCTTTCAGAAGTCATGAAAGCTTCATGTAATGCTACAAGAAAGAAACCTTTCCAAATCATGGTATCTGCAACCTTCTTGAGCAGAATGCAAGTTTGCTGAACGCCTGCTCTGGCTTTAGGCCTCAATCTAAAATAATTTATCTATGAGGACAGAGGCACAGGATAAACTGCTTGAACTTCATGATCTATCATACTTCATAAAGGAATAAGAACAGAGAATGAGATCCTTTTGCTGCTTTGGGCAGGGTCAAAAATCACATTGCTGTTATGAGTGTGTATGTTGAACGTGGCACTGCCTCTTCCTCACCATCATCATCACCTGATCTGCACAAATGCACGTGCATAGAGCAGCTCTTCAGACACACACCTCTGCAACATCAGGTTTTTATTTATGAAACCAGAAGACACAGGTTAACACAACTCCAAGACAGCCCCAACACTGTGGGTTTTCCCCACCAGGGGCTGCTGGGAAGGATTTGTTAAATTTCATACATTTTGCATAACTGAAAGCTATACTTGTAGCTTATGTGCTTTCCATATGTTGAGTAACAGTATTATCAAGTGTGGATTCTCCTGTGGACAAGATTAATAGCAAGGGTAAATCAGATGGACAAAGGGTAGTCTTGGAGCATGAAGGACATCAATAAAACACGAGGATTCTGTTGTGCACCCATATCACTTTATGCCTGATAGAACAAAAATCTGTTGTTGAACAACTTCAACAGGGAATCAATCCAAGAAGAACAGAACGGTGAGATAACAAACACAGAGGGCTTCTTCAGCTGGAGCAAGGGAGAGCTGTGTGCCTCGAGGCTTATTACATGTCTTCCCTAGAGGAAGTGCTCTTCAGAAATAACATAAATCCCCTCCACTGCACAGAAGCAAGTCTCAGTCATCCATAGTAACTAGTTTTTGAGCAACCATGGTAATCACAGAAACTAACAGCTTCAGGTGATATCCAGTGAGACAGCCTCGTCCTTCCCTCTGCTACAGCAAAATCAGGATCCATGCTTACCCCCAGGACTCACCTATCCTTGCCATGTGCTCTGCTTTCTTCACCTCTTGCTCTGCACGAGTCTTGAAACGATTTGAAGTATATTTGTACATCCTGTGATGATCAGAACATCAGCAATCTCAGCAGTAAGGTCAAAGCAAGATTTCATCACTTTGTTAAGAAAATAAAGTCTCCATAGGCTACTCTACTATTTTTCCCCAATGGATACACAATAAACAGAGGTTTATGAATCGGTAACTGAGCATTTTGGAAGTACTCAGGCCATATCTATAGTCATAGATGCTCTAGCAGTAGCTGCAGCTGCATCACACCCTTCTACATCACACAGCGAGGTGTAACAAATTCCACATCCTTGAAAGGAATCCAAGATTAAGGAGAACAACTTCTTCAGAAGGGAAAAGAGTGCTGAACACGTATGTAAAACTTTTCAAAAACAAAAACAAAACACAAAACTTCCACTCCAGATAAATAATCCTTCCTTTCTCTTGCAAATAGCACCGTGCAGTTTCACAGCACGCACCTCCAGGCAGAGTTAGCTCAAAGCCTGTAAAGCAGCATAGGAAACGTCTGAACACAGCTTCAAGTTGCAGCTTCTAAATACAGGACACTTCTGATTTACAACCTTGTAAAGTGTTATTGAGTTGCAATGGCTTGTTTTACCTTCCACACACAGTGCAACACGTCAAACAACCATGTTAGGAGAGGCAGAGTCAGATACTGGGTTGTGCAATCTCCTCAAACCTACTTGAGGATGATCTAAGCTACCTGGAGCCAAGAACCAGAACGCATTCTGAAAAACACAACTGCTGTCAACACGTTGGTATAATTAAATTACATCACCCACACTCTGCCTGTTCCTGGGTGAGAGGGAACAGGGTGAAGCTGAATGATCTCAACAAATGACTCCTGAGGAAGGAGGTTATGGTCAACAGCTCCACGTCCAGGTGAAGGCTGGTGACAAGGGGTGTCCCCCTGGTCTGTCCTGCAACCAGTGCTCTTCAGCATCTTTATCAGTGACACAGGCAGTGGCGTTGAGAGTACCTCAGTAAGTTTGCTATAGAAACCAAACTAAGCAGTGTGGCTGACACGATGGAAGGAAGGGATGCCACCCACAGGGATCTGGACAAGCTTGAGAAGTGGGCCCACATGAATGTAATGGGGTTTAAACAAGACCAAGTGCAGAGTGTCACAGCTGGGTTGGGGCAATCCCAGCTAAGTGTAGAGAAAAAATCCTTGAGAGCAACCTTGCATAGAAGGATTTGGGGGTTCTGGTGGGCAAGAAGCTGGATGTAAGCCAGCAGAGTGCCCCTGCAGCCCCATCTCTGGAACTGTTCTCAGTCAGGCTAGATGGGGTTTTGGACAGCCTGGTCTAGTGGAAAACATGCATGCCCACAGCAGGGAGATTAGAAGGAGATGATCTTTAAGGTTGCCTCCAATCGAAGCCATTCTATGATTCTAAGAGAAATACTTGGGCAAGATCACAGACAGACTGCTTCACCAAGCAAGGTACACCTTCTCTTTTTCAACCCAGAGAGGCAGACTAAGCTGCCACCCCAGCTCCACTCCCACCTTCCCAGTGCTGCTCCCTGCACCAGCTTCAGTTACTTGCAGGAATGTTCAATAGCCTAAAAGCAAAACAAGGAACACAGATTTGGTTCCAGATAAACTGTCCCAGAGACTGAACAATTCCTGAAAGAAGAAACCACCCAACCATTACATTTTGCTTTATTTTGCAAGGCCAAATGGCTTTGGCTACAGCCAGGAAAGCTCACATTCAAGTGGTGGGAACAGATTCGCATTGAGAAGTCTGACAGACAAGAAATCCACATTTCCCTGCCTTCAAAATCATCCTACAGTGTCCTCATGAAGGAAACTCTCTTGCACGTGGTGCAATAATAGCACACAGCACACAGCCAAGGCAAACAAAGCAGCACACAGTGCTACTGCAGCCACCAGCACCTGATGACTGCTGAGATCATTGCTTGCTCAAATAGCAGGCATATAAGCTAACGTGCAGAACTGCCTGCTTACTTCTAGCTGCACGCACTGTGCTGCCAAACAAGTTGAAACAGTGACTGTGGGAGGCAACAGATGAAGTAACTGTTCAAGAGATGAAAGCAGCTTCCAGGGAGGGTGGTGCTGCGGCATCACACCTATAAACGCTGCTGAAAGATCTGCACAGAAGCAACTTGCTCCTGACTCCTGGATGTTCCAGAAAGGTTGTATGAGATCTCACTGAACTCTAGCAAAGGGTAGAATGTATCCATATATCCAGAGCTGTTTTGTAAGGAAAAACTGCTTCCTCAGTCTTGGATCTCTTTCTCCCACCTGAATGGGAGGCACACATTGGTAGCTGATTATACAACCCACAGCATTCAGGAAGGACAAGTGACAACAGAACAACAGATGTCCTGCTCAGAACACAAGCTGTTATTTTTGAAGGAGAGCAAAACCCAGGTTTGCACAGTAAAGGCATTTAAACACTCTGAGGACCATTACAGATTTCCATTCTTTGCTCCTTAACATAAAAAAAATTAACCTGCAGACAAGTCACTGTTAAATGATCTTCCTTCAGAGATGAAGACAGAGTTACTGCCCTACCAATGGGAGAGAATTCACTGCCTTCAGCAGGCCACCCTCCTCAGCAGATCTTGAGACCAGAATGGCCCAATGCAGAACATAAAGTGATCATTTCAAGCAGAAAGACACCTGGCCAAAAGCTCACCAAGGATGTAAGAAGACTACAGTCAGGATCATTTCTTAGCTCACCATCGAGTAATGGCCTGCTCTTAGCATGGCAAGCTAGTTTATAACACGTTTTCTTAAAAATCCAGCCACAGAAATGGACAGGTGTGTCTCTATACTGATGGATGAATGCCATTCCATTGCAGTACTTAAGCAGTCTTTAATTAGGAGGATATGAATAAAATTAACACTCGGGCACCATGACTCTCCCGCAGAGATTAGCAAATAGCCCTTACACAGAACACTCAGCACAGCACCCTTTGGGCTGCCAGCCAGGAGGACCATCACTGCCCCTACATGCTTGTAGCTGGCTACAAAAGCTCAGCAGTAATCTGGCCTAGACTACAGCAGCTCTGCCACAGACAGCCGTGCTCAAGTGCTGCAGCATTAACTGTCCTCCAAGGAATGGTGTAACATCAGTAGGCTTCCCCTCTATGCTCCTGTACAAATCATTCTGCAAGTCCAGGAGAGTAGCATTAAGCTGCAGACACCTCAGGAGCCAGATAGGGATGCATGAGCTCCAGCTTCAACTCTGAAGGGAAAATCCATGACACCAGCACCCTGCCTTTTCAGTAAGTTCATGGAAACATGCAAACAAACAAATCACCAACAGCTGTAAAAAGAGCAACTTCATTCTCAAAAAGGACTGACTGACCGGCCTTCCTCTAGCAGGTCCCTCAAGAAAGAGCTGTTCAAGAGAGAATAAGTTCTGTTCAGGGACCAGAAGGGAAGTGAATGAATTTTCACAACCTGTTATGGCACACTGTGGGCGCCTACCAGAAGGGCTCTCAAAATCTACGATGAAATTTCAGCAGCCATGCAGCCATCCATGGCTGGCATTAGGAGTACAAGACCAGGAGGATGCAGTCTAGACACTCTAAAGTAAGACTCTTCCCTTTTGCCTTCCTTCCATAGTAGCACATGGCAATCACACACAGGTAAAATACAGAAATTCAGAGTGTAAGATCCCATCAACCAAGCAAACCAGGATTTACAGCAGCAAGTCATTCTGACTGCCTTTGCCAGTGAAAAGGCTGAGAAGGGGAGAGCAGTAGATGCAAACTTGCTTGACTTTTCTCAGGTTTCTGACACCACTCTCCAAATTCTAATTAAAGAAGCTGAGTAAGTATGAGCTTGACAGGCAGACTGATGTAAGCTGAAAATTGGCCAGGTTCAAAGGGCACTAATCAGCAGCTTGACAACTAACTGCAACAGTAAAAGTACCCAGCAAGTTGGTGGTGGGCCCACACTGTTAGAACTCCACTGCAGTACAACATGGTGGTGTGTTATTAAGGCACAGAGCTACCTTAGAATGCAGCCTGTGTGCTATCATGGACAGAGGAATACTCTTGTCTCAGACAGACCTAAAAACACATTCCCTTTATTCCCCTTAGAACCTTCTTTATTCTCTTTGAAGACAACTGCCAGCACACCTCATCTCGCTTTCAAATGTGCCATCTTTAAGGGAATTAAAAAGGAGGACGAGGAACAGTCTTTCCCAATCTCTTCTCAAACCTAGATTAACCACTGGTAAACGTTAATTTCCAACTTAACTATTTCAGAGTGTTCAGCATGGTTTCCTTTCTGCAATAATTCTAGGATGTACCCTAGGTATTTTCCTGTCCTATTAAAAAATGGAAGACCAGGTGAACTGGAGGCCAGTCAGCTCAGCTCTGTGCCTGGCAACACATTGGAGCACATGCTCTTGACAACTATGCTAAAGCCCACGGAAAATAAAGAGGTGATTGGTAACAGCCAACACAGCTTTACAAAGGGTAAACTGTGCCTGCCCGATTTGCTGGCCTTCTGATGGGGTTACAGCCTTGGTAAATACAGGCAGAGCAACTAACATCATCCGTCTGCTCCCATACAAAGCACCTGACATTGTCCTGTGTGACATCCCTGTCTCCTATCATCTGTTCCTGTGGCTTCAATGCGGAGTTATGCAGGACACATCCAGACAGCAAAATGCTAAACCTTTTTTCATAAGGAAGGTCCTGCACGTGTAAGCAGACTTTGGCTCTGGCGCTTACCTTGGCTTGTACAAGCAGCAGGAAAGCCTCTTGGTTTGCACCTTGTGTCCGTTTATAAAGATTCTCATCCTGGGATCAATGTACAGCACAGCAGCATAGGCACGGAAGGAGCGGCGCTCAGGCTTTCTGCAAGAGAGACGTGCTCAGAACCTGAGCAGTTGGTTCTGCATTTCCCTGCAGGAGACACTCTGCCTGTTATGACCACATACTCCAAAGTTGACTCATTCAATGAACCCCCTGAGGAACCAACGACTCCTTCACGCTGCTCATCTTTTGTCTTTCCTCTTTCCTGCACAGTTTTCCCCTCTCAATTCTTCTCTAGCTAAAAACAACCCAGACACACTGCTGTCATACAGCCTGCATTTCTGTACAAACAAAATGAACAAGTTTCTCCATTGAAAAAAAATTCTTGTTTCCCAAGGAATTGCTACCTAGGTTCCAAATGACCAACAGAATCACCTCCTCACACTGATTTTCACTACCTTGTGACTTATTTCAGGCACCTACAGCACCATTAATACCTTGCTGTGTTGCCATACCAGGCATCTACTCCAACACACTGCAAACATGCAACCTTCAACAAGTGAGTGAGATAAAAACAAAAGCTTTTTCTATTTTACCATTCCAGTGGTATTTTTTTCAACCTCTGTGTTCTGTAGATTTTTGCACCAAGTTGTGTATTTTACATGTTGCTGCCAAACATTTACATACGTATTACTGCAGCTTGAAAGGAATGTTCTGAATAAAGCTGGATAATAAAGGCCATAGCTACGACCTGAACCACTTAACACCAAGTCCTACCTGTCAGTACTCCTGACCTTCAGTTCACCAGTATGCTCCAGCAGAACCTGCCCTGATCCAACACAGAAATAACAGCACATGGGAGAAGCAGCTCCTTCCTCTATCAGTGCTAATCATGAAAGCTCACCACTGTGCACTAAGGAAACTGAGAATCCTAGTAGGTCCCTAGAGGTCCCCAAGAGCTTTGCTGCACCTGCATACTAAGCATCAAACTAATATATTCCAACACCACCGTGGTTTAGGGTCAGTTTTTCCTTTTCAGGCTACAAAGCTTCCAGAAAGCTCATCCTCCCTGACACGTGGAATCAACACCACCACCCTCCGCTGCTCCTCTAAGCTGCCCTCTGTGCACATTCTCTTTCTTCACCTAAGGAAGGTCCAGTGGCTGCCTGCATCCACCAGCATCACCTGCTCACTGACCTGCACAATAACTCACATTTTCTTGGTGTTCATTTAACCACAAGCTAAACATTTGTTTGAGATCAGACTCACGACCAGCATCACTGACAAAAACCTGACACCTACAAAAATCACACTCATAGCTGAGGGCATCCTCCCTTGGTGACATTAAAGGTTATTGAGTTGGCTGCTTTGACTGAGACGAGTCAATGCAGAAATTCAGACCAACACAAAGGTGTAGCGCCTGTGAGCCATTTGTACATGTGAACCCCACACTGCTACGAAACTCCTCAGCACACAAAAAGCTGCTTTTAGAAAACCACACGCACACAGCATACAGTCAAACCCAAAACAACTGGATCAAAATCCAAGGGCTTGTAATGTCAGTCACACTCACGTTCCCTCTGGGGGGATTTCTGCCATCTGAATGTCTCGAGGGTCAGAAGTCACATCCAGCTCTGGCTCCCCGTTGTCCATCAGTTTGAGGTTAAAGATGATCACCAGGGTGCCTGAGCAAGTAACAAGTTGATTAGACAAATCCAGCCCAAACCCCAAACTACCCTGACCATGGCCAGCACCATACAGACCTTTCTCACCACGGATCTTATTAAACTGCTCCATCACTTGCTGTTCTGATTTGAACGGGGAATACTTGTAAATCAGCTCCGTCTCAATAGCAAACTTCTCCATGTTGTCACTCACAGGCTCTCGGTTCCACACGTTCCAGGTGGGCAGTGGAACAATGACCTGCAAACAGCACAGCATCAGGAGCAACCCAGACTCACCACCCCCTCTATGCCATTCATATGGATGGATGCTGAGTGAACTCAGCCCTTTCCACAGGCCAAGAGTTAGTGCAGGAGCTCTTCTTAACTTTGCAATGCTTTGCATAACGGCCAGCTGCTCAAGGATCTCTCTTTTCCAGCCTCCCAAGTTCTATAACATCTAGTCTTGGAGCAAACAGCCCCAAAGCAACCTGTGAAGTTCTGGCTGCTCAACATCAACACAACCCATGGCTTCTTTCATCTGGCAATGATTTATACCTAACACTAAAAAACCATGAGCTTTCATTCTTTAAGAAAAACAAACATCAACCTCTATGTTTAACACCTCTCTTGAGCTGAAGCATTCTTTGTTTATTCCGATTTCCCTTTTTTAATTACTTTTGTATGATTCTAGAAAGGTTGTCAGTTTTCTGTTGTTTAGAACAGAAGCACAGATAGAATTATGGACTGCAGATGTATACCAAGTACAGAGAGTCATCCAATCATAGAATGGCCCGGGTTGAAAAGGACCAAAATGCTCATCCAGTTTCAACCCCCCTCCTATGTGCAGGGTTACCAACCAGCAGATCAGGCTGCCCACAGCCACATCCAGCCTGGCCCTGAATGCCTGCAGGATAAGGATGTCCCTTCCTTGATTCAGAATTAAGCTCATGCCAAAACTCCTGGCTCCAGGGGCACTATGGAGCTGCACACACCACTGCTGGCTGCCCACTGCTCCATCAATGGCTTCTTTGTGCAGCTCCCTCAGGTGCCACAATGAAAAATCCTTCTTGACATGTAGTGCAAAATAAAAACTTTTCATTACTGACCATGCACAGTATATGCACATAGCACAGAAATACTTCTATGTTAGGAATTCGGATAAAGAACATCTGAACTAAAGGTATACAAATTTTCAGTAGGTAGAACCACACTGACTTCAGCACTCATCATGTTACTTCATTACGTACAAACCTCATCAATGCCTTCTTCCTCATGAAACGTCCGGGACAAGAGGAGGCAAGTCATGGTGTTACTTTTCTTTGTGAACAGGACAAAGTCTTTCCCAATCCGCATGGAACCCCTGGAGAAAGATTTCAGGCAGCACGTTACAACTGATGACCACCACTTCTTAGCAAACCAGCAGAATCTATGCAAACGCTTTAGAAAGCAGACCAAGTTATCAGTTTGTTTCCATTCTGCTCAATTGTGAGACTCCAAAAGCAGATAACAAAAAAAATGGCTTTAAAATAGCAACGGCCCTCTCTTTCTACATGTATCATTCCTTCCAAAAAAGCATCTAGACCTGGACATCTTACAAAAAGAACTCAAGCTCTCTAAACTCCTTCCTCTCACACTACTCACAGTTTAAAGCTGAAGTCTAATGGAGCTTTCCAAACATCATATACGCAGTGTAAGTCCATCTGACTTGCACCAGCCAAATCTCCTACTAAGAGGCTGCAGCATTATTTTTGCTTCAATTTCACTATTGATCTGACACAGACACCAAGGTTTGTTTTTTTCTTCCTGCTTTTCTCTACCATTTCCAGCTCTGACCCAACCCCCCAATCACAACATGACAACACTGCCATCAGCTCATTGCAGAGCTCCCTGCTGCAGCACATGTCCAAAGTGCTCCTGCACACTGAAACATGGTATCTTTACTTAGATTTCATCTGCACGCATTTTTTCTGATATAAGAAACACCTCAAAGCAAAAAAAAAAAAAAAAAAACCAACAACAAAACACTGACTATCTCAGCTCTAATCTCCACAATCTCAGGAGACTGGCTGTGATTAATACCCACGATTTCAGGCCGTTCCCATACTGCCCGATTTGAGTTGACTCCGGCGATCGCTTGGCTGATTTACCAAACTGAATAACACTGGCAGCTTCATCTGCAACGAGAGACAGAGCAAATCCAAGGTTGGTTTCAATACAGAGACTTGGATACACATTCTAGATGTGAATATGTTTATTTCAGTAGAACAGTTTGTCATATGGAAGAGGCCTCAAGCACGAGCCAAGGTCTCACCTTGAAGATCTGCTACCCGGATCAATGGCACTGCCTGTGTTACAAGTGCTGCACAGATGCAATTACACTGATAAAATGAGTTCTGAGTTTCGTATCAGAGCAGTGCCCCCATCTGAACTGCAGCCAGATGTTTTCTGTTAACTAAAAAATGTCAGCAAGATCATCTGCTGTGTCAACCACGTCATCACCGCGCTCGTAAACCAAAACCCAGCGCTGGCACATGCAGCTATCGCTGACACCACAGACCCAGTGCCCCTCAGACCACCATAAGTCACCATACAAAAAACTCTGAATAAATGAATTACTTTCTCCTTACTTTGAGCAATTAACACACTGCTATGCCAAATGCTAATTTTTGCAACTACTGCATAAAGTCAGAGTATTTTAATGACATAGGACAAAAGTAATGGATATGAGAGCTTCGCAGCTGAGAGGGGCTGCCATTTTTAGTTCAAGCCTTTCCATTGTTCAGGGTACAAAGCCTTTTAATATCATCTGTAGGACAGAAGAATTGTCCTCCCTTTCCGCAAAGATAGCAATCAGTTCACCATAGAATTTACTAGGAGAAATGAAATGCAATTCCAGATACAAGGGAACATGAAGTGCCTTAACAGGAACAATAGTTTAAACAGGAAAACTAACAGCAATTACATCCACAATGCAGATACAAGCTACAAGGGAGCCTGGGACATCTCTTTCTATATCCCACCATGACAAAGAGCTGGAGCCAATGGTCACGCTGGGTTTGAAGATGCCCAGGTTCACTAGCACTGGCAGTGAGGCTCGTTGGTTCAATGAAAAATGACCCATCTGTATGTTAGAATGCCATTACCTGTGCAAATGGCATTGAGATTTAAAGCAACAAACGACAAGGTAAAAATATGAGAGAACAACTCTGCAACAACCTTCCTACCTCTATTCACTATGTTCACAAAGGTCTATGGGATGTTTCAAAAGCACACTCTGAAAGGATCACAGAACCTCTTTCCCTTTTCCAGCCTACGATGGTACTTTCACGCCAATGAAAGCAAACGTTAGAGGGTTATCTCATGTTTGGAGCTCTGGATTTTATTTTTTATTATGTTAGTTTCAAAACCAAGTCAGACTGATGTATGTGAGATATTCTAAGAGCACATTACGAGCCCCTTTTTGCTACGCAAAAAAAAAAACTTTTATCAACAACTGCTTTTAAGAAATATTTTAGAAGCCTAAAAAAGGAAGAGTAATTATCTGAGGCATTTCCTTGCTCAGAAAAGGTGAACATATGGTTTACCATTCAGCATTGGAGAATCAAAAGCACAATTTCTTTTGGGCAGAGGAACATCAATGATGCCCTGAAGAGAGAAGTCCTGAAGGGCAAAGACATTCCTCCCAAAGGTCAGGAGCAGAGACATTCAATCCTTATCCTCCACCAAACAAGGTACAAATGAAAACTCTTCCACACTTCTTGAGTTAAGGCTCTGGAGGGATTTTCACTTACAACTATTTCAGTCATACTGTTTTCGTCTCGTCGTGTCTCAGAGCTGCTAGATGTAGAAAACAAACTCCCTGGCAACAAAAAGAGCCCTGACGTGAGCTATGCCAAACAGAAAAGACAAGAAACAATTTGAAAGAACAGCCTGAGCATGGCAGATTGAGCTTTAAAACTCCAGAAAAAGAATAAGGACACCAATTAAAAAAAACAATTATTAATAAAAAACATCAAACATCTGAGGCATAAAAACAAGAGATGGCATTAAGTCCTCACTGCTGTTCGCCCAGAACTGGGACAGAAAACCCTCCTGAGTGACATGCCAGCAGATTAGGGGTCAGAAATTCTATGTTCCGCAGGCAGTGAGGCCATAGCACAGGCTGCCCAGAGGAGCTGTGGATGCTCCATCCCTTGGAGGCATTCAAGGTTAGCTGAACGGGGCTCTGGGCACACTGGTTTGGTGGGAGGTGTCCCTGCCCACTGTACAGATTGGAACTGGATGGGTTTCAGGGTTTAGTAGGCAATGTTGGCAGTAGGTGGACAGTTAGACCTGATGATCTTAGAGTTCTTTTCCAACCCTGAAGATGTAATGATTCTGTTCTACACTGGCTGCAGTACATGTGCAAGTACTGAGAATAACAGAGCCCAACTGCAAACATGTTAAACTGGGGAACAACTCTACTGAGAGTTCTAAGTTTCCTACGGAATCATTCAGTATAAACAAGCATGTGAAGCTCATCCAACAGTTGTCCCTCTGGGAGGAAAGTGAGGCTCTGCTTGCCAAATCAGCCCCAGAAATCAGTGATGTCCTCCCAGCTTGTCTGTCATCTTCCTCAGAATTCCTCCTCTCTTAAGGCCTTTTTACAGTTTCCTCACTTTCAGGTGGAGCTTGGGTAACTGCAGTCAGACATACCTTCATTTCATTTCGTGCAGTGGAAGGTGAAAAACTGCTGACATCAGTTCCACAGTAGCACCAAGCTCCCATCCCTGTGGTGTTATAACAGCTGGCCATGGTGTTCATACACCGCTCTGTGCTGCATCTCCTACAAGTCAGCATACCAACTTCCCTTGATGTTAATAAGGTTGCATAGGGAACTCCCATGGACCAGAATCCTTGCAGATTCACCACCCTGAAGGTTTCCCCAATGCTGCATCTGCCCTTAAGAGGTCGACATCTCAATAGGTCACTTCCAAAGTAATCCACCCTGTGACTACAGTCACCCAAGATTCACAACATTTAGATGAACTGGGGAGATCACAGTCAGCGTTGTGCTCCAGGGGCTACTGGGCCGCTATGTGTAGGGTAAGATGATTGACTCATAGTATTTAGCACATGCTCAACTGGTCCTCAGCTACTTAACTGGGTGTCTGCTGTCAGTTCTTTCAGCCCCTCACTTTGAGACAGACACGTGGTTGTTATCTTTCCTAGCAAGACAGTGTTATCAACCCTGAGCAAGGCCTCAGTCGCCTCCTTGTCTGCTTGAGCAAAGCCTGGAGCGTAGTGGCCAGGTGAAGGAGGAGTCTGGGGGCACCACCACAAATCCCAGTTAAACGCTGTTCCTCACCACAGTAGGCCTTAAATACATAACAATTAAAGAAATGAAGATCTAAGTAAGTGATCAAGAGTTTAGTACTTCACAGCATCCAGTAAAATGAAAGCACTATTCAGCTTCCAATCTTCAAAATACAGTTTAAGGAACAAGAAGTGGTATGAAAAGCAAGTTAAGTGATTGAAGCAAAGTCGTCTTTACAAATACAATTAGAGATAACTTCTGAGATTAATTGTAAGTAAAAACGTTGGCAAGCAGAGCTCCTCAAAGCAGGATCTTCAAGATGCAAATAAGGTGCATGAATTGGCAGTGCTGTTTGCTGATACTAAAGCAAAGCAAGAAGGCTTTACTCCTGCTAAACCCAGCACTGATTTACATTAGTGCTCATGATGAGGCAGACTTTGCTACATTCTTCTCATACTCCTAGGACTTTCTGTTGATCTCTATCACAATGATGAAACAATAGCACAATGCTTTCAAAGTTAAGGTTGCACACGTTTGTTATTAAGGATGAGAAACGAATCGCTTGGCAGCCCCTGATGGAAGTAGGCCTCTGCCCATCACCTTTTCCTTTTCCTGGCTGTACTGTTCTTCTATCCCCAAAGCCAACTTTTGTGCAATGGAAATCCAAAAGCAAAGCTGACTCATTTCTATCATGCGGCACAACAGTTTTCTTATTTTTCTACAAACTGAGGAGGTGAAGAGTTTGACACAGTGAGAAAGGGCCAGTGCAGAGGCAGAAACACGTATCCAAGCATGGAACTACCCCTTAGATAATTCCAAGCTGTTAATTCAGCTTAAGCCATAACATGAAATCCCAGCTTGAAAACACAAATGTAAATCACTATCACTTACTTGAATCCATTCCCGTTCCATCATCCAGAAAACACAGCATGAATCCACCTCGCAGGTTTTCTCGGCGCTCTACAAAAGAGTTATTTAATGCTCCCACGCACAAATTTAAAAGTTTCATAAAAGGGAAAATCTGCTCAAGCTAAGCAGTGTTCATGGGAGAAGTAACACAATAAACATGATACAGCTATGCTCCAAAAAAGGGCACCACGTTTTTATTACACAGTGACTAATTTCTCCTGCACTTTAACTTGCATGTAAATATATGCTACAACAGTGCACTGTAAAAGCACATTTCTTAAACACCCAGTACAAACAACCCACTTTGGTGTAATCTGACCTCAGCTGAAAACTGATCTTGCACAAGCTACTCGTAAAGGCACTGTTTTTTGAAGACGCAAAAGCACAGGACAAGCAGAAATGGACACAAATACACTCACTCCTACAAAGCACATTTGTAGCCAAAACCCAAGTTTTAACTCCTAACTTGACTGACAGCACGCAAGGAAGAAGCAGGAGTGACTTACCAGTATAAATGTCTATTCTTGTGGCATCCGCATCTCTATGAAGCAACAAAAACCCAGTCAGTATTCAAATGTCAACTGGAAATGAAGCTAAAGCCAGGCACTTTCAGTAACTTCAAAAGTGAACTGATTGCACACATCAAAGTGCACGAAGGCCCAGCACCCAGTACAACAAGCTAAAAAAACCACGCTGTTCTGCTTTTTGTCTATTTGAACCCATGCTCAAACAGAATGTTGGAACTGCACATAATGAAACCTAGTTATGGTATCACTGACTTATACATAGAAGTCGTAGTAAGGAAACAAAAAAAGTAAGTGCACACTTCTGAGCTCCCTCCTCTTCCACACCACATACATTTTTCCTATGAAAAATTTATTAACTTCTGCATAAAACTCTGTAAATACAAGATTTGCTCCAAAAGAAATGCCTTCTATTTTATGATGTCAGCCCACAATGTCAGAGGTGGATGTTGGTGGCACGGCAGTGGAGGTTGAACCTTCCCACCAATGTCCTGTTACATGCTGCTGCTGTGTGACAGATGGCAGCAGAGGGGCAGTCTGACAGAATGGCGTCTGACATGCAGGTGCGTTTGAAGCAAGGGTGTAGAGATGAATTCCTCCACGTGGAAGAAATGGCACCCACTGACATTCATCAGTGCTTGCTGGATGTTTATGAAGACCAAACAACAGATGTGAGGACAGTGAGGTTGTGGGTGGTGCATTTCAGTAGTGGCAACAATGTGAAGGACGAGCCATGTTCCAGACAGCCATAGATTTTTACAAGCTGATCAAGAGTGTAGTTCTACTACAGCAATAAACACCCACTTTGTAAATGCCAAAGCCACTTCGCATTGTCTCCAAGTAAAACTACCCTTCACAGAAGGTTAACAATCTACAGAGTCTATCTTCTGCCGGAGGATGAATCAAGTTTTGAAAAGAAAAAAGCTCATCAGTCCAAACGAGCTACATTTAATGATGCTGTTGCAAAAGCAAAGAAGTGCAACAGCTGCTGACCTGAGAGTTGAAATGCATTTAACATACAGGCACAGGCTCCTAGTTTCCCACACACAGAAATATTTCATTTCCAGCTCCTTACATTGCTAACGGCAAGGTGTGACAATTCACACCTGATAGGATATAATCTCAAAATATTTTCACCATGCCATATCACATTTGGTGAAGCTGAAAGGATAAACATGCAAAGGTTGGGATGTAACTATAGGCTCCAATATGAGAAATGTGGCTTAAGATATGCTTTTTCCAAATACCACGTCTCTCAAGAATCACAGTTGCTCCACTTGTTCTTGCCTTCTTTTCAACATCCCAATTCTGATTCATTCTCATTCTATCACTACTCTGGATACTAGGAACCAATGATTGTCCAAGTATAAAACAGTCCCAATTCCACTAATATTTTATCAGTTTCTTAAAAAAAAAAAAAAAAAAAAAAAAAAAAAAAAAAAAAAATAACTTACTTTTTCATTAAATCCCTTTCCTTTAAATGATCTTCTAACCATTTCCCTTCTGAACTGAATTACCCCATGAAATTTATCTTGTTAGAAATAACACTTTTTTTTTTTTTTTTTTTCCACAGGGCAGATGTGCCAGTATAAGAGAATCAACTGAAACATTCATACTAAGATATAATGAGCTATTTTAATTTTTATTTCTCTTGAAGTCTGCTAGAAGTTAAGACTACCTAACATCCCCTAAACAGTGCAGCTAATTAAATTATTTACTGAATATACCTTGGGAATTAGGCAGTGTCAGATACGCACCTGGCATTATCTACAAGTTCAGCAAGGGCACCAAACAAGAACTCATGGGTAGTTCTGCAATAAAGCACAGAATCAGCAGGGTTACACTAACACTGAGAAGGAGAGACCTTTAATTACATGAAAATCTCACATGCTCTAAATAAATCAAGTCATAGTTCTACAGTACCAACACTGGCTACGGACGCAAGATCACAATGTGTTTTACTATCTGCTGGAGCAGAAAGGCTGCTCAGTGGAGGATCTGGCTCAGAAGACCTGTGGCTCTTTACAATCTGAAAAACACTGCACCATAAACATGAGTCTCACAGACATAATGAAGAATTATTGACTCGAAGTCCATGAATTATCCAGTAATTCATGTAAAATACTCAATTATTCACCACACTGCCAAGTCTCTTCATGGCACCTAAATCCCATCTATCTGAAAAACCTGGACAGATTAATGTTATGCATAAGGTTTGTCTTCACCATTCACATACTGATATTGTGTAACTTATTTCCGACATGAAGAAGTTTCCAGATCATGGGAGACTTCCAACAGATGCAGCCGCTCACAGACCAGAATGCCATCTTCCTCCACTGTTGCACACCCTTACAAACTCAGCATTAAAGTCATGCAGCCAGACGTTACCAGCACAAAAAGCTACATTTAGTTTCCAGCCTCTTAACTGCAACATTTTGTACACAGAACCTACTTGAAATGGAGTAGTCAAGTGCCTTAAACTTGACAGATGATATATGGTGAGGACATCTCCAAAGAGCCCATAGAACCATTCCAACAGATTGTCCCAAACATTAACTGAGTAACTCTGTTGGAGAATCAACTTCTTGCTGTACCTTCACAATCCAACAGTTATTTCAAAGGCAGATGAATCATATCCACCCCAACATTTAACTTCAGCCACAAGACAGGAGAAACAATTTCTCTTACTGAGTCAGGTAATTTAACCAACCCAACAAGATTTCTGTAATTTACTGCTACTCTGGGATGGCTGAAGAAGAGACTGAGTCTCCAAAAGATATTTTTAGCTACGTACTTCACTTTGCATGAAACCTCTACACATACAACTTCCTGTCACTACTACTACAAAGACTGAAGTCACACTTAGTTCAGATTTGCAGTTTTAGAAGAACAGATGCAAAGGCACAGAAAATATGTAGCCAACCAGAATGCCAATAATTACAAAACAATTCTTCACATTTATCTTCAGCATCGTGAACTGTAGCTCATCAACATAGCTGAGGTTAAAAACATCAGCCTTCCAAGCTGTCACTAGAAAGAGAATAGAGCTTTCCTTCTCTGCAAACTCCAAGGAAACCACAGACAGAACGGAAATGGCATTCTGAAGACCAGCTGACTGTCCAGAAGGCCTTATCAGAAGCTCAGACCTGCTACTCTTTCCTTTAAGCGGGATTTCCTGTGCACACAGTTCAAGTGCTCCCATCATTTAGGAATCTATTTAACTTTATAAATCAATATCCAACAACCCAGTTTATTTAGAAATTAACCCATGTCAGAAAACAACAAAACACAACAAAGTGGGTACTTTAGAACTAGTAACTGTGCTTCATCAGCAGCTTTCATTCTACAACTTCAACAGTATTTTAAATTAAGGAAAAGATGCAAATAGAGATTCCAAAGATAGATACTGGAACAAGATAGCTGAAAAAGTAACTGCATTTAAGAAAGGCAAGAGAAAATAGTATTTCTTGATAACCTGACACCACACCTAACTTGAACACCTATCAAAACCTGAATCTCTTGCACAGACATGGGCAAAGTGATACCTTGGAACAAGCCAGTGAAATCGATTTGAGCTGTTTATCACTAATAAAAAAATTATATATCCTATAAATATCTAGTATTAAGTACATTAATCTCAACACTAAGACTTTTAAAACGTCCCAGATGATCTTGTCAGTATCTAATTAAGTCACATGAAGCACTCAACCCAAAAAAAAAACAACCTGATGATATCATCTTACAATCAAAGGTGCCTGCAGTACTTAGCAGCCATCATTACCAACTGCTGACAACCCTCTCCTTGCTCCATGCAAAAAAAACCCTGCAGGATTATATTGCTTGCAACATAACTTTCACCAACAGAAGCCAAGCTGTTGCCAAAATAGTCTATCAGAGCTCACACATAACCTGAAAACACTTAAGTACTGGCTAGAATGTCATCATCAGTGGCTACATTAACCTAATTCAAAGCACCAGAAATACAACCACTATTGATTTAGAGCACTAGAAATACACATTAATTAAGTGAAACATGAGAAGTCAAGGAGAAAGCAGTACTAAAATCCACAGTCTCAGTGACAACTCACTGTACGTTGACTGACCTGGAACCACTCTCCAACTTCTACCACTTACTCAAGACAGCTCCATGCTGGAGGCCAAACCTAACATGGATCAAATGAATGCAAGAACCTAATTACTAACAAAAGACAGAAGAGTAGGTTTATTCCGAAGGAGGTCACATCTGGGAAAACACTTAAGCTGGAAGTCTTGCATCTGGGTCAGAAACACGAGCTCTCCTCTCATTACTGCACTACTTCAGGCCAGAAAAGAAACAGGAGGGTGTGAGGTATGAAGAGATGCTTATTTGTTACTTGTATTCCTCATATCCACCAGTCAGTTATGCTGAACTCCTTCCATTTAAGGGAACTTCTTCCAGTGGAGCAGAATTCAAAGGGGCAATTCCGGTTACAGAAATGAAACCTAATTTCAATCACAAGTTAACTCCAACTACGCAACACTGCTCAAAGACATTCTCTGCTGCTCAGGTCTTAGCAAACTCCTTCTGTTACACCGTACAAACATTCAAGATATACCAAATAAGTTGGCTGGGCTGAGGTGTGTGTTGTTTTCATTTCAGTGAATGCTTTAGAAGCATCTGAAAGCAGCAGCATCTACTTTACAAGGAAAAAATCCCAGTTGTTGTGAAGGCAGGCAGGTGTCTTTGGGCAGTCACCATAAGGGCCATACGTTACTCATTTCCACGTGCTTACATACTGAAGCTTTTCTTACTGGATCCACAAGAACTTCCACATAGCTCAAATATACAAGCTTCAGAAAAGCACTTACGAAAGTACCAGAAGTAGTTGAAAAAGATGTACACACTTTGCAACTGAAGTGATTCAGGTACATGGTGCAAAGTCTGCCACCAAGCATGGCAGCTTGGCTCCATTGGCTCAATTGGCTTCAAGTCCTCACGTTCAGGGACCAAATAAACTGGCTCCTGAAAAGTGCTTCAAAACATGCTATTAGATGTATTACCTTTCTGAAGCAGAGACAAGAAACAACAATAAACAAAAAAAAGCCCCACATGCACTGAAGTAGTATTTCACTGAGATTGTATGGTTTTCCTCTGACAGCAAAAATAGCCTGAAAGACAAGAGCCTCCACTACCAAAAATCCTCTTCAGCTCTTCGCTCACTGATTTTGTCATTGGTGGTGGTTGTTCAGTTGTTATTATTATTACTGAGAAGAGGGAGAAGTTGCTTATTTGCTGTACGGGTTTTGGCTTTTCTGCTGTTGCTCTTAGGGAGGTATCCAGTTTATGCACTGATCCCCATAGCCTCAGAAGGCTCTTTGTTCACGGTGTATGAAAAGCCCTGGCTTTGGCTTATTCACACACATTACCCTCCAACTCCTAACGAGGCAGCTATGCAGCACATAAGTAGATCAACAGCAAAAGCAGAACAGAAACTATAGCGGCAATACGGAATAACTTGGGATACTTTGGGGCAGCAACACCACCACTGGTCTTCTGCAGCAGACTTCTGTCTTCTTACAAACATGGCCAGAATCCATGGCACATCCAAGACACTGAGAAATCTCTACTATCTAACAGTGCTGCACAGCAGGAGTTAACTCGTGATCGAACTTGTGTTTTCTAATACATAAGAACTTTTGTTTTTCACAACTGGATGTGAGAGCTTCTCAAGTCCAGGAACACGACTCAGTATCGACTCAGTATCTTCCATCAAGCACCAGGCTTCATGTGTGACTGCTGCAGGCCAAACAAAGAGCAAAGCTACTGGACGTGGACCCCAGGGCGTCATTAGGCTGCTCCTGTCCTTCTTTTGTGCAGAACTCATGCTTTCCTGATAGTGAGAAGAAACTGATAATGTTCTTGGCACATGTAACCGCGAGATTGATTGAGTAGTTGCTCCCGGAGCCGTAGCTTATATTACCAACACAAACGCTGTTGGATCTACTTCAAATTGAATGCAGTTAGAAATCTTCAGACAACTGCAGACCACTGATGTCCCTCCTTCTAAGCTTGCCTTTACACACTGAAAACCAGGAACAAAAAGATACTCAATTTCTTCTTCTATTGGCGGTAACATCAAATCAATTCTTCCGCAGAATGGTTGGAAACAAGATGACCAACGGATGCTAAACATTGCTTGTGATGTTCCTCCAAGGCAGCTGAGCCAGAGCGAGCTCTCCTTCAACTCTTCCATCCGTGGCACAGCAATGCCTGCTTCCCACGGGCAGGGCTGAGGCGGGTGCGTAGCACCATCCCTGTTGGCACTTACCATGTTCTAGATGTGCATGCTGAATGAACCCCTCATAAAGCAGGTGAAACTCTAGCGTTCTTCGGGAATTTTAGACTGATGGATTCCACGGTTTAAAATAAAAAATAATATATATATATTAAAAAAAAAAAAAAAAAAAAAAAAAAAAAAAAAGCCAATTCGAAGAATCCCGTGCTTCTACTTGAAATAAATGGCACAAAAAATCCAGGCACGGACCAAACAAGATGGCAGGGAGGGATGGCAGCCGGGTGAGACGCGAGGCCGCTCCGGAGGGCTGCACACGCAGCGCTGCGCACGCAGATCCGCCCCGCGTTCTCCCGCTCCCATCCGCCGCAGCACCGCACCGCCGCGCCGCTCCTCGCGGGGGCGAACGGATGCCGGAGGGCGGCCTGAGCCGCGGGGCCGGGCCGCGGCCCCACTTACCTGCCCGAAGCTCCGGCCCGGCCCCACCCCGCAGCCCGGTACTCACGAGTTGGTGTGCAGGTACTCGAAGGTGAGCTGCGCCCGGTTCAAGCTGCTGTAATTAGCGCAGGACATGGCGGCTGCGGCGGCCGGAACGCTCTCCGCGTGCGCCCTCGAGGCTTTTCCCCAACCCCCTCCCCCGCTTCCCGCACCGGTCACCGCCCGGCCCGGAACGACGGCGCCATCGGCGACGCCGCGCCCTCCGGGGCGCCCCGCCCGGCCCCGCGGCCTCGCTTTGTCCCTGCTGCGGTCGCACCTCGCCGCCGCCCGCGGCCGCCGCTCCCCCCGCAGGGCGGTGCTGCGCCGTTGGCCGCCGGTTGGGCCGCCGCGTCACGTGACGAGGGAGCCATCGCGCGCGCCGCCGCCGCCGTTTCCGCTGGGCCGCGTGACGCGCGCGCCCGGCGTGCGCGTTCCCGCGGTGCGGGCTGTGCGGCTGGGAGCTGCGCCGCGGCGGTGGGCGGCGACCGGGCTTTACCCGCCGGGACTCGGCGCCCATCCGGAGCTTTAATCCGTTGCGTTTAACGCCGCCCGGTTTTCGTGCTCTTTCTGCTGCCGAAGGATCCGTTAAGGAACGGCCGAACGTCTTCTTAAAGCGTGCTCGTAGGGTACGTAACATGGTGCCGCTCTACACCGCAGGCAGACGCGGCGGACCTGAAGGCCCGGGTTGTACTGCGGAACATCAGTGGAAAAACGCCCCGCTGTCATCTGGAATGGATGCGGACGGGATGGAATGGATGCTGACGGGTGGAATGGATGCTGACAGGATGGCTGCATCGCCTGCACCGAGGAGGACAGGAATCCGGGTGATCCCAAGTGTTTGTGGTGGAGCGGTGCAGTGAAACTTAGATCTGGTTGTGTGCGAAGGTGAAATCTGTAATGCAGGCTTTGTGTTTGAATTGCTCGTCTCCTGTGTTGTCTGCAGCACAGCGAGTCCTGCAGTGCTGCTGGCAGTGCTGTGTGTACGTGTGTGGTGGCTGCCTGGTAACTGCATCTGTGTGCAGCGATTTGTTTTAGGCCTTCTGTTTCAAAGCTGCGTGAAAGCATCAGGAAAAACCACTGACAACAGTGATATTTAGGTGGCCTTAAGGCTTTGATGGGAAATATCTCTCTGAGTCTTTTAAATATTGCAGCATCGTTGTTGTACTTAGCTTTTATTTCCTCGTGTTGCAGTGAGTATCAGAAGCAGATGGGTGCAGGCAGTATAAATCCCATCAGTGTAAGGACAAAGTAGCTATTCAGGTGCATGTCCCTACAGAGTGTGAACTTAACCTTGTGTGTCTTGTCATCCTTGTCTCTTTGGAACTCAGGGTATCCCTTCTTTCCCTAAGGGGAACTTTGTGGCGATCTCATCGCTGTACCTTCAGGAAGGAAGAGTTTATTTCCTTGTGCTCAAGGGATTCACAACTTCAGCAGAACTCCATGTCAGACTGCAGCGGAGCAGCCTTGCTGTGCTGCTGTGGCATCGCAGGGCTGTGCTGGGTGCCAGTCCTTTCCAGCTGGCCCCTGGGAGAAAACAGCACATTGCAGTTCTGTTTCATTCGGTCAGTCCCTGGCAGGAAAGTACTCCTTTCCATCCCACTGTTCAGTGGTGTTGACTTCCAAATCTTTTTCACTTTCAATGACAACGGAAATTAAAATTTCATTTTTACTTTTTCCATCGCTGCTCTGGAGAAGATTTCAGACATATTTTGGTCCTCTGCTCTTTGGTTTCTCATAACAGAGTTTTAGAGGGCTATGTAGTTCACTAGTCCACTGAGCTGCTAGACTGAGCTGCTAGACATCCAAGGAGGAGTGAAATTACCTTTTGCAAAACAACATTTGGATCACACAACGTTTGGTCTAGTTTGGCCATAGCACCGCTGTTCTTTGATGGGGAACCTGTCTGCTGGTGGTTGGAGGATTGCTGAGCTCTTGTGGCCTGTGAGCCACTGCTGCAAACCGCTCAGTTTCTTTGCTTTTGAAACTGAACTATTCCCGCTGCAAATTGACACCTGTCCTCATTAAGGTTTTAGCTTGGGAGCTGTCTCTTCAAATAAACAGCTCTAGATGTATTATATTAGTTTTGACAAAGAACTTTCCTTTTTTCCATCTGCTATCAGCACCGTTTCCCTGAGTTCCTGTCCAGCATGTGGATATCTTATACATCTTATACTAACTGGTAGAGTGTATCTGGCTTTCTCTTCCACAGATGTGATAAAGTGTCATAGACAAATCCCCCCTCACCTTTGAGTGGCCTTTGTTGCAGTGATGCAACAGCATGCTGAGATGCACGCAACGATCCTGATGAATGACCTGTGGAATGGTGGTTTGTCACAGCAGTGCATGTTGGGGCTTGAAACATACAGTCCTGCTCTTCTTTAACCTGAGTTTCACACACAGAGCTTAATTTCAACACCTCAAGCTGTGCAACTTTTTCACTTTGAAGTAGTTCCCAGATCCCCTCCTAAAACTAGTCTTTAGAATCCACGCTGGCCAAACTTTGTGTTTCTGGTTGGGAAGTGACATTTCCTATGGAGTCGTGTGTAGCGTTTCCTGAATCCTTAATCTGGTGTAGTATTTTGCTAACCCTCTTTCTACAGTGTCATAGCCTGAGGTAGTTGAACAGTTCAGTTGGTGGCCTGTATTCTGAAAATGGGAGGCACAGGCCTTGAACCAGCAGTTATTCCTCATCTTGCCTAGTTTTAACAGGCTTGACTTTGAAGCGAGCATTTAATGTGTGTCACTATACTGGTAAGTACTATGGTTGCACCATACAAATGCAGCAAAATGTATGTCCCACACTTACATGAGGCTTCCAGAGGTTGGTGGCTTTATTCTGTGTATGTGGATACTAAGAAACATAAGCCTTTGTGCTGTGTAAATGTGATTTTTGCTGTTGGCATAGACCTTCTTGGTTCTGTCCTGACTGTTGACATTCGGTGTACTTTTCTCATGAAGTTCAGATGTTGTTATGGGTCCCAGTAACCTAACTTGCATGGATGCCCTGAATTCATAGGAGTTTCAAAGTGCCTTACTACAGTGGACTGTGAAAGCATGGTGTGGGCTCACAACAGTTTGGTTCTTAACCCTTTGTGCTATGCCATACACTGGCTCTGCTGCATGTTTCACTTTGATTACCTTCCTTTACAGGTGAAAATTCTTCCTGCCATGAAATACATTCCTCTCTCAACACACGACAAGGCATTCTTCATTAAATAGGGTGTGATTGTCTCACTCAGAGAGGAGCTACATCAGTCTGCCTTTTCCTGAGCATGATTTGAATGTCAGAATCAGCCCAACACAATGCAAGAACAAAGCCATGGAATCAAGAATTTAGGAAAAAATAAGTGTCTTACCTCATTTTTTTCCTAGCAAGGGGTTCTGCCTTATGTGGTCTGGGGTAGAGCTGTTTCTCACGTTCATAGCAACATCAGTCTGGTCACTGTTGTTCATGTCAAGTGGCAGAGCAATTTGCTGATTAACTCAAAAAGAGACACAGGATGAGACTTTTTCCATGAAATTTTTCATGAATTTTTCCTATGTTGACAGACCTAATTCCTGGCTTTGTACTCTCTGGGACAGTCATTAAAGGAGTAGTCAGTGAATCAGTCCTTACAAGACATGCAGACAAACTAAAATGTTCAAATGCAACTACCTGACCGTGAATGGAAGCCACTGATGTGAAAATGCAACAACCCTTTGCACGGAGCCCAGTGTCAGTCTTGTGCTGGCTTATCTCACGGAAAAGTCACATCATGGGTTTGAATTCATTATTTAATCTACATATTCCCAGTGAGACACTGGCTGTCAGAAGTGACTTTGTAAATCAGTCTGCAGGAGATTGGAACGGGGAGAAATTGATGAGAACAAGGAGACATCTTGAAGGAAGAACCAGGAAACAGCAGAATGGTTGGATGTTGAGGATCCTCCACCTCTACCAGTCAGAATTCCCTGACCTCAAGTCTGTCTTTGCTTCATGTAGTAAGCAAAAAAATAAAAATAAGAAAAAGGAATTGAAAGACCAGGAAAAAAAAAAAAGCAGCAGCAAAATGTCAGTATAAGACTTCTTCGCCTAAATCAGAAAATGCAGTACTGAAGAGCCCACAAGAAGCTGGTAGACAAGGAGCAGTGGTGGAATCTTAAAAGAATTTAGCTGACAAATGTGGAAGAGTGGCATGAATCAATCAGGGATTTACAGTTTGGACAGGTTGGATGGTTTCCCACAGGGGAATTGAACCCGAAGGCCATGCGGCTTCTTTCTTCCTTAACTGTGGTTGCGTGACAGTTTAGTGGCTTCCTGCCAAGATGAAAAGGCATTTTCTTAATAAAGTAGTTAATGAGCAGAATTTCTTTTGTTGATGAACAAGTAGTTTTTCCTACCTCGTTATTTTAAATGTGGGGACTGTGTTCAGTTCAGAGTGTCTTTTTAAACCAGCCTGATGGACTTGCTTGACATGGACAGCTCAAATGGTTTCAGTTTGGCAAAATGGCAACCAGCTGAAGACATGATCTTCTGGTGATCACAAAGCAACAGGTGATCTTGTGTGGGTACATCCAAGTAGATGGGGCTGAGATTTGAATGAAGAGCTGAACAGCCATGTGACCACATCTGAAAGAGAACACAGCTGGGCAATGCTAGTGCAGAAGGAGGACTCTGGAGACTCTTCTCATTAAAATATCTCTCAGTAATGATTGTCAAAGAAAACTGTTCCTCTGTTCTGTGAATACTACCATGCGTTACGGATCTTGTTGTCTGCAAATGCGAGTGGTGGTACATGGAATGCACCATAGCAGCAAACAGACTTGCAGCGAAAATCTGAATTTTGGGCAGGACTTTCTAAGAAATCTATGTCCACATTGATCTGTGGAGTCCTTTTGAAATGACTGAAGGAAGGAGCCTGCAGGCCTTCCCAAGAGCAGCAGTGCCATTTTGAACCAAAGGCAATAAAACTCTTAGATTCTGCCGATATCAGGAGCTTGGTTTCAACAACCGGAGATGTGACTTGCATGTGCCTGTTGCCTTTGCCTTTACCTTGATGTCCTTCCAAAATGTGTTCTCTGGAGAAAGTTCTCTTACAAGCCAGCCTGTTGTTTTGCATCTTTTCTGTTTTCCCCAGGCTGCAACAGGTTCACCTTCTAAACTGGCCCGTCAGCAATG